AAATTTGGCTCATTCGCAGTCAAACTATTAACACAGACAAACAGACATAACACATTGATTATTTTTCACTGTAAAACATCGTCGCTAAAACATTACCGCCATCTGTTGAGTACACTGTGGTGGGCACTACGCTGAACAGATGGCGGTAGTGTTTAAACGTCAAACGCAAGGGAATTGACTATGCGCGCCACAAGTGGCGGTACTACCGACTACGATACTTTTAAATTGTCCGTTAAATGCTTATTCGATGAACAACTTGTGAGTGTTATGTCTGTTTGTCTGTGCTATTAATCTTTCATACATTTTAAATTTTAATTAAATCCGTACTCGACTAAAACGGTTACAACAGCTAGATATTTTTCACCATCCAAGAAAAATGGTATGGTCAATGTATTAAATAATTTTGGAATCTAAGGTGATGACTTCCAGTTTTCAAAATAGCCTTAAATCGAAGACATCATATCAAGAAGACCGGCAACTTTGCCAGAATCCAAGCGACAGATACAGCCAGTTCTTCTTGATTTGTTGTCTTCGCTTAAATACAAGACAATCATCCATATTCTTGTCCCAAGTACATCGATTAACGTCCCCATTCTGGTCGAAATTCTAGTACTACACTATGTTTGTTTTGATTCGCTATGAAAGTTCGACATTTAAAATTAGGAGTTCGTGCATTTTCCTATGTTTCGAGGAGTACATCGATTAGCTTGGGACCGAAAATAGTACCTGAGCCAAAAAGTTGAGCACGTTTCATCGGAACCTTCTAGCCTTAGAGTTACCTATATGCTAGAAGGTCCCGAAGAAACGTGCTCAATTTTTTGGCTCTGCTCTGGTACTATCTTCGCGAGTATCTTCGGTCCCAAGCTAATCGATGCACCCCTCGAAACATAGGAAAATCCACGAACCCCTCATTTTATCTGTCAAACTTGCATAGCTAATCAAAACAAACATTGTGTAATACTAGAATTTCAACTATAATGAGGTACTGTCAACAATCAATACGAAACTAACGATTTTAAATTGGCTCACCACTTTAGTAGCCTATTGGTCCCAAGCAAACGATTAACGTACCCTATTCTAGTTGAAATTCTATTACTACACTATGTTTGTTTTGATTCGCTATGAAAGTTTGACAGATAACATCAGGGGTGTGAGGATTCATGCAGAACATGCAGGGGTGAGTGAAATAGCTTGGGACTGCTTGGGACCGTTTTTCTGGTACTGAGTGAGCCAAAAATAATAATGATTTTCTTCGGGACCCAGTGGTCTTAGAGTAACCTCTATGGTACTGTCATCGATGTACTTGGGACCGATAAGCTAGTCCAGTGTGAGCCAATTTAAAATCGTTAGTTTCCACCGGTTGCCATGTGGTACACTGAAAAATTGCAATATCAGGTTCGTCACCAAAGTTTTCGAGCCGCTCCGTCTGTCACTTCGTTTGTGCTGATAATATGCAAGAGCAAAATATAATAGAAGTAATCGAAGCATTTTTATTTCCATTTGATTATTTAAATAAGAAAGACCTCAATCAATCTGTTTCAATTTGTTTGAATTTATTTAATTTCACCACGAAAATCATAAATTCGCTCTTTTCATATGACATTCTTGCTTGTTGTTTGACATCCACACATGGTGAAACAAAAAGTTAGTTCCCCCACAGAGAACAGACGTCCAAGTTCGGTCAGAAACTTGTGTAAAGTTAAGTGGAAACGTCGCCGTTACGTAGCGCTAGCATCTCCTGATTTCTTCTATAAATTTATCACTTTCGACCAATTTGGCGCTAGTATCGATAAATTATCAGTTGAAAATTGCCACTTAGCGCTACCAGCATTTAGTGTCTAGTGTATGTTTTGCAACGCCAGCGCCATCATGTTGTCAAATAGGGTTTTTAAGTGGGGAAGTCGCCGTTAGTGGCGCTTAAGTCAAATAGGAATCTTTACACAAGTTTTTAGAGAAATTTTGTTAGAGTCTCAACAGACCTCTCCAACTCCAAGGAAAGGATGTTCGGTTATTTTTTAAACTAGATCAATGCATTCATTGTCGTGAGTCATGTGATCGATGATTACTATTTAAATTAATTAGGCGTAGAACACAAATAAAAAAGGGTTGAATTTGGGATTGAACTCACGACCTTCTACTTGGAAAGCGGAAACGGTAACCACTACCACTCTACTGATTTTCACCCCTATTCTGTATTTCGTTTCAAACGAAATTCTCATACAAAAAAATATTTTTTTGTATGAGAATTTCGTTCGAAACGAAATACAGAATAGGGGTGTTTGTCTTGTTGTTAGACTGAACCAGTGTTGTGGAATAATGAATATAATACCACAGAGAACAGACGTTCAAGCTCGGTCAGAAACTTGTGTAAAGTAAGTGGGAACGTCGCCGTTACGTGGTGTTAGCATCTCCTGATTTTCTCTATAAATTTTCCACTTTCGACCAATTTGGCGCTAGTATCGATACATTTTCTGTTGAAAATTGCCACTTGGCGCTACTAGCACTTAGTGTCTAGTGTAATTTTTGCAACGCCAGCGCCATCATGTTGTCAAAGAGGGTTTTTAAGTGGGGAAGTCGCCGTTAGTAGCGCTTAAGTCGAATAGGAATCTTTACACAAGTTTTTAGAGAAATTTTGTTCGAGCCTCCATGTCTGTTCTCTGTGCTAGTACGTCGTTTATAAAGCATTTACAAGGCATGCGATTAAAACATGGGCACATAGTGGTATAAGAGCTATTATCACAGAGATTCAAGTTCAATCAGAAACTTCTGTAAAATAAGTGGGAACGTCGCCGTTACGTGGTGTTAGCATCTCCTGATTTTCTCTATAAATTTTCCACTTTCGACCAATTTGGCGCTAGTATCGATAAATTTTCTGTTGAAAATTGCCACTTGGCGCTACTAGCACTTAGTGTCTAGTGTAGTTTGTGCAACGGCAGCGCCATCATGTTGTCAAAGAGGGTTTTTAAGTGGGGAAGTCGCCGTTAGTGGCGCTTAAGTCGAATAGGAATCTTTACACAAGTTTTTAGAGAAATTTTGTTCGAGCCTCCGTGTCTGTTCTCTGTGACTTTACACAAGTTTCTGATCGAACTTGGACGTCTGTTCTCTGTGGTGTAAGTCAGTTCAGATGTGTGAAAAATCGTAAAATAAGACAATTACTGATGGAAATTGGCAAGATGTTCAATGAAAAATGCTTTAATTTTTTGTTGGGAAAAATCCTTCTTCTAATGTAAACAAACGGTTTGGTTGACGTTTCCTCTCGAACTAACGTGGTGCCCTCTACGTTGGTAGTGTATTAAAAAGGCCTATTAGTGACGTCACTAATTGAGTTTACGTTGATTTTTTGGATTACTAATACAACCATATTTCACGATCTGCTTAACCTCTCTCTGTACTCATTGACTTTAAACCCCTCTTTGACAACATACACAACTTACACTAGACACTAAGTGCCGATAGCGTCGAGTGGTAATTTTCAACAGTAAATTTATCGATACTAGCGCCAAATTGGTCGAAAGTTGAAAATTTATAGAGAAAATCAGGAGATGCTAGTGCCACGTAACGGCAACGTTCACTCTTATCTTTACACAAGTAGGGGAAATGGATGTAATATCGGCCTAAATGCCCCTTATTTGGGCCCATACATAAATTCAGCAATCGACTAAATTTTCAATAGCGACCAAAAATATCTATTAGTACCGTCCCAATGACGCGTTCATCTTGATCAAATTGATAAATAGCAGATTTTTAGCGATGGGCCCAATCTTAGGTCCATAGGCCAACATTAGAGCCATTTCCTCTATCTGATGGAAGTTGGTTCAACAATCAATACGAAACTAACGATTTTAAATTGGCTCACTACTTGACTAGCCTATTGGTCCCAAGCAAACGATCAACGTACCCTATTCTAGTTGAAATTCTATTACTACACTATGTTTGTTTTGATTCGCTATGAAAGTTTGACAGATAACATCAGGGGTGTGTGGATTCATGCAGAACATGCAGGGGTGAGTGGATTATACCAACAATCAATACGAAAGTAACGATTTTAAATTGGATCACTACTTGACTAGCCTATTGGTCCCAATAAACGGTTAACGTACCCCATTCTAGTCGAAATTCTAGTACTACGCAATGTTTATTTTGATTCGCTATGAAAGTTTGACAGATAAAATGAGGGGTTATTGGTTTTTCCTATGTTTCGAGGGGTGAATCGATTAGCTTGGGACCGAAGAGAGTACCAGAGCTGAGCCAAAAAGTGAGCACGTTATTTCGGGACCTTCTAGTCTTAGAGTTACCTCTATGGTATAACCAACAATCAATACGAAACTAACGATTTAAAATTGGCTCACCACTTTAGTAGCCTATTGGTCCCAAGCAAACGATTAACGTACCCTATTCTAGTTGAAATTCTATTACTACACTATGTTTGTTTTGATTCGCTATGAAAGTTTGACAGATAACATCAGGGGTGTGTGGATTCATGCAGAACATGCAGGGGTGAGTGAAATAGCTTGGGACTGCTTGGGACCGTTGTTCTGGTACTGAGTGAGCCAAAAATAATAATGATTTTCTTCGGGACCCAGTGGTCTTAGAGTTACCTCTATGATGCAACTGGGTTGGAATTTTTGGACATCGCATCAAAGTAAATTGCACTTAAATCTGAATTAATTGTTTATCTGGTTTTATCCACCTTTCCATGCTCGGTACTGACAGCCATGCAGGTTCTTAGCATAAAAATTGTATAGAATTAAAAGATAATCCTCACCGACTTTTTATCGCAGAAGATCTCCAAGTGTGTCGTTATCTGTGGTGAACCAATTCTTGGGGCACGTTCTTGACTAATAGAGGCAAGTTCATCTCGCATGAATGATTAATAATGAACACACAAACAAGAGAGAGAGAGAGAGAGAGTGACACGCGAGAGATTCTGGTGTTGCATAACTTTGCATCCACCCGTCACACGGAACAAGCGTCAAGCGAGTAACAAAGTAACAAACCGCGACGACCGTAAGTTTTAAGACTAGAGTAGTACGAGAGATGCCTTCGCGAGTGCATGCATTTGGAAGAAGCAGTAGCAGTATTTAGGTTCCATGATTCCGTGAAAGACTGCACTTTGCACGCCGGTTCCACGAGTTTGCTCAACGTAGTGGTAGTGTCCTAGTATTCCCTCCTAAGCTGCAAGTGATAAGCCAACAATTTAGTGCAGTGGTCTGTTTTGTTTGTGCAGCTAAGCTGAGCTGGATTCCACCCAAAAAATAGGACCATTGTGCGCATTATGAATCATTAAGTTTTGTCGTGATATTAATTATTGTGGGAATGTGTATTACAAAAAAAATGCAGCGGAGCATCACGATGATCAAATGATAATAAAGCCAGCTGATGAAAGGTAGATTGTGACAAAGTTGTGTTACCTCGTGTGTAGTCGAGTGTTGCTGGTTAGAATAAATTGGTGTTTTGTCCGAAGAAATTGAAAGCTAACAGTACAGTTGAAGTGGTGCGTAGTAGTAAACTGAAGAGGCAGTTCTTGAAAAAGATTAACAACGCTTAAAGATGGGTAGCATAGAAATCGACCAAAAATTGCTGCCGATGAAGGCGCACTACTTTCTGTTCAATGCTGGTGAGTGTTATTTCGTAATAATGGCTAAGCTTTGTATTTTGATTGGACTGAGACTGATTACCTATAGCTTAATATACAATACAGTAACGTTCAAAGAAATCTCTCACTGCTCTAAAGTGTGCCGGCATTTTGTTCAACAGTTTTTTTATTCATGCAAACCGGTATTTTTTCGCGGTTCTCAGAAATAAATTTGATGCTTTCAATGAGATATGTCAAAAGATCCACTCGAGTCGTGCTGAACAAGCAAAGCGCGTGTTTGAATGTAACATAGGTCGTCTTAAAACATGTTCTAGAATTGAACTCATTGCCAAAATGTGGCACAGCTTTGGACAAAAATCTGTCGAATCACTTTAAAACAAATGACATGACGGCGACAATTTCGACGATAAGATAGGTTTCAATTGATTAATTACCGTTCACGAACATAACTACATGCATTCGTTCAATTCAAACTAGAACTCATACATACATGGTGAATTAAGGTACACAAAAATTTGTTCATCAAGAAGTTCGAGAGACCTTTGTATCAATCGTATCAATAGACTGATATGATCACACATTCCTAGCATTTACATGGGTAATTCTTTCAAATTGATCACTCAATTTGTAGACGCTGATCTTGCTTTAATAGAGCAATTCTCGGTGAAGCCGGCGATAAACCACTTTTTGTTCGTGGATCTAACCTGAGTGACTCTCTTTCTCTGAGCTAGTCTCATCGGCTGTGTATCGAATAAGTACGAAAGAAATGGGCTTTTAGAACCTCGAAAAAAAAAAGTGGTTTATCACCAATTTCAGCCAGAGTTGCTCTGTTAATGCAAGATAAGCGTGTACAAGTTGAGTGATCAATTTAAAATAATAAACCTTGTAAATCCTAGGAACGTGTGATTGTATCAGCCTAATTGATACGATTGGTACAAAGGCCTTTCGAAGTTCGTTATGAAAAAAAAGGTGTTTGCCTTGGCAATTAATCACATATGACGAGAATCATCCTAAAAATTAGTTTGGAATTCAAGTCAGCGCTCTTTTGGAATTATCTTCCGAATTTGTTTGAGGTTCTCCTCGAATTCTTCTTACATTTTATTGTATTCCCTAGTTGTACCCCAAAAAATCCCATGGACTTATGCTTCGAATTCCCTGTCTGTGCTCCCAGAACATTCTTTGGATTCTCATCAGAATTATCGTTAAATTATCATCAGAATTCTCTTCGAAATTTTCTCTAGATTTGTTTTGCAAAATTTCCGTAGAATGATATTCAGTATTCTCTTGAAATTCTACTCAGAGCTACCTTGGAATTCTCCTCATAGGTTTCAGCAATCCTTAGTTTCCACATTTCTTCCCAGAAGTCCCTTGAAAATTAATTCATGAAGCTTAGTTAATTTTGCAAGATTCTTAATATTTATTTTTTTCAATTCTGGGGTCTTGGAAAATGTTCCATGTCCGGAACATGTTCAATTATAATTTCATTACAGAGCTGGAAAAAGAGCCTAACAGCTGACTATGACTTCTCCCGATGATTGCTAGGAATTCAAGACACGCCCACGCAAACCAACGTAACCAACGGGTAGAGGAAGACTTGATGGTTATGTTGTTTTGTGTGGGCGTGTCCTGAATTCCTAGAAATCATCGAAAGAAGTCATTGTTTACAAAAGCTGTAAGGCCCTTTTCCAGCGCTGTATTGATTTGTTTTGTTACTTAATGGAAATCCGTTCCAGAGGAAGTCACAGTTTGTTGGTTGCATTATAAAATGTTTTGAAATTTTGAAATAATTTAAAAATTCCCCGAGCAATGATGAAATTCCCTAAGGAACATATTTATTCACCTGCGCTTAAGCCTTAACCAAGTTTAACTATATGCGTAAACCATGTTTAAGATCTAAGCGGAGCGGAAGAAATCGGTCCTAAGAATTGGGTTCTTTAAGGGTATTGAGGTAAATACATATTCGTAATCTGCATTAAAAATGGAACCCAAACCCGAAATTTCATCAATTTTGGTACACTGGAACTATTTTAAATAAGTACGATTACATTTGCAAAAATCACCTTATTAGCGCCCCTCGGTGTCACTTTGTATGGGAGCGAGCTGTCAGTTTATCAGTTTAGTGTCAAACAGTGAAGTTATTATTTTGCTTTAAATCTTGATTTAAAAATCGAGATGGAAGTGTGTGGATTCGAAAAAAATATTGCTGTGCTCAGAAAACGAAGCTCTATCGGATGATGTATAAAAAACAATACATTTTTCAAAATTAAAGAACCCAATTCCAAGATTTCCAGGAAAAGAAAAATTCCCTGAAGATTCTCGGTTTTCCAGGGTTTTTTCAGGTTGTAGACACCATGACTGGGACGCAATGTTTGAATGCTTTGCTTAGTATTTTTTTTAATCTAGCGCAACATTTGAAAAGGGCCTATCCTCGTTGATCGATTCTCTTCATCGACTTTCTCTTTGGCTTACCAAGGCACCATAAACGAGTTTCTCGCTAAGCTCGCAGCACAGTTCGACAGAAAATGATGTTAGCTTGCGCCTGAAACAACACACTCAATGGGAAATTCATTTGCAGTCGGGTTATTCGCGAAAAAGAAAATCGATGAAGAGAATCGATCAACAATGATAGGCCCTTTTCTCGTGTTGCGCGAGAAATGTTGAATGTCCTATTTTCATAAATACTGTAGTGTTTCGTTTTTTTGGGCTTCCCGTTAACACAATCTATACAAAGCAATGTTAAGTTGTTATGATTAATTCTCGTGCAATATCATCATTCTCTTTCGCGAATAACCCGACTACAAATCGACTGTGAGCATGCATAAAGGCGTAAACGCGATGATCGATTATCTTCGTCGATTTTCTCTTTTGTTAATAACTCGCTACACTAATAGAATTCCACACATTTTTATTGGCGAATTTCCATGTGAAATTCTACATGATTTTCATGTGACCACACATATACACACGGATAGAAATCTCCTTATACATTTTGGCAAATTTCTATTGCTGATTATTCATAAAATTTATAAGTCAACTAATAAGCAGACGCCTTGCAAAAAGTTAATGAAGCTCATGTGTCAAATGAAATGTATAAGCGGTCACACATACCTTTTATGCATTCTTATAGGACCTATGTGGTTTGTCTTATGGAATGTATAAGGTTGATGTTTTGGCAAAAATGTATAGGTGAAACGCATGAATAAAATAATTGATTTTCGTTTCGTGCAGAATCCACCCAGAATCACACATAAAATTTATGAGTCAAATGAATAGTATGTGTGGTTACACATGGCTTTTATGTTTACACATATTAAGTATATATCCGACACATAGATATTATTTGTTGATCCCATTGCAAAAATTCATGTGTGGGACACATAAAAACAATCTTTGAAATTTTGTCAGTGTAGAATTACCGTTTCTCGGTGCGTTTGCTGTTGCTTTTGATAGCCAATACAACCTGTTACAATTCTGTATTGAATAAATTCTAAAAAATTGCTTCGCGGAAGAGAATCGATCATCGCTTATACGCCCTTATGCATGCTCACTATCGAAATGAATTTCCCATTCAGTGTGTTGGTTCAGGCGCAAGCTAACATCATCCTCTGTCGAACTGATGTGCTGCGAGCTTAGCGAGAAATTCGACAATGAGCATGCATAAGGGCGAATACGCGATGATCGATTCTCTTCATCGATTTTCTCTTTGCATTACTACAGCTAAGCGAAACAATTTTCTAGAATTTGTTCAATGCAGAGTAGTAACAGGTTGTATTGGCTATCAAAAGCAACAGCAAACGCACCGATAAACGTTCAATCTAGTGAGTTATTAACGAAAGAGAAAATCGACGAAGGGAATCGATCATCGCGTATACACACTAAGATTTTTTTACAGAACATTGTAATTTTTTACCGAATATGGAACAGCTGAACATTCGGTAATCGATTCGGTAATTTTTATGTTTTACAGTACATTCAGTAAATTTATATTCAGCTGAGCTGTCAAAATTTAACGATACCGCTCTGTAAATTTTTACCGAAAATGCTGTAAAATGTTTACCGGTCGATCTAAAATTTGTTCGGTAAAAATTACCGATTGTTTTGTTACTGCATTTTTTATGGATGCATGGATTATTCTTTCTTTTTTCAAATTTGAAGTTAACAATAAGATAAATAGGTTATTTGGTATATTTTTTTTCTACGAATGTTATTAGCTACAATGTTTTTATTATATACATGCATTTTCCGTCTGTTTCGGAAAGCTGTTAACAGCATTGTGATTTGGAACATGAAGGTACCCAGAGTTCATATTCCTTCATTCTCTGAATTCGGTGGATGCATTTTCCCGATGCATCTCTTCACTTCTGCAGGGAACACAAATGCTGATAGCGCATGGATGGTGATGGAGGTGGTGTCCGAGCTGACCGTAGGAAAAACACATGATGGGATCTTCATTCATCTCGAGAACCATCTAAAAAATATAATCGAAATTAATGATAAAAATAATAATAATAGTAATAATAGTTTTAATTTTACTTACTAACGAAAAAGATCTTCTGTTCCTCCATCGAGAGCTTAAATTTGTTGGAGTATTTACTCATTTTTCAAACACTTTCCAATTGCGCACTTTATTTTTAACACCGAAGAAACGAGTCATAACCAACTTTAAAAAGGTGGGCAAAAAATAAGTTTGACAGCACGTAATTTACAAATCGTTCGGTACTTTTTCAAAAATATCGTACTTAACGTACAGTTTGTTTTGTAAAACATTATTTTTACTGTACATACGCAATAGTTTTTTACAGTATTACGGAATTGCAGCCATTTACAGGTTCAATCCGTAATTTTATTTACATTTTACGGTAATTTTCTGTAAATTACAGAAATTCGTCACTTTTAAATGCTGAAAACCGGTAAAACACCGTATTTTACAGAACAATCGGTAAAAATTGTATTTTACAGGCTAAGTTCAGCAAAAAAAAGTACCGAACATAATTTAAGAAGTTTGGTGTGTAGGCCCTTATGCATGCTCACTGTCGAATTCGTTTATGTGGTAAACCAAAGAGAAAGTCGATGAAGAGAATCGATCAACAAGGAAAGGCCCTTTTCAAATATTACGCGAGAATTATCAATTGTTTATAGTTTCAGTCTAAAACAAGCAACTTTTCAATAATTTGTCCAATTATGTAAGAGACCTAAGATAGCCGATTCAGTAGAAGCACGGCCTCACCAAACCGGAGATGGCAGGTTCGATATCCGGTCTGGTCTAGAAAATCTTTAGGGTTGTTATTTGTCTCGCCAACTCTGGGCATAGCTTACACTAAAGAGCCTGAATTTATAAAGAGACGACATGTCAAAATTGGAACAATGGATTATCTGTCAAAGTCATAGGAAAACTTCGACAGTGAGCATTCATAAGGGCGAATACGCGATGATCGATTCTCTCCATCGATTTTCTCTTTGCATTGCTACAGCTAGGTGAAACAATTTTCTAGAATTTGTTCAATGCAGAGTAGTAACAGGTTGTATTGGCTATCGAAAGCAACAGCAAACGCACCGAGAAACGTTAAATCTAGCGAGTTATTAACAAAAGAGAAAATCGACGAAGAGAATCGATCATCGCGTATAGGCCCTTATGCATGCTCACTGTCGACTTATTCCAATCGAGCAGAAGACCTGTCAAATGGATAAGATGTCGGCCGGCGCCGGTGGTGTAGTGGTAAGCGTGACTGCTTTCTAACACCCCGATGGGTCTGGGTTCAATCCCAGCCGAGGTCGGTGGGATTTTTCTGAGGCATAAAAATCTCTGGTCACGTCTTCCTTCGGAAGGGAAGTAAAGCCGTTGGTCCCGGCCCATGTGTGTTGAATGGGTGCGATATCCTACGCAGGTGTGGAAGCTGCCTTCCTGCACATTCGATTGCCGTCAATGGATAGCAATCGATGTCCGTCGGTGATTGGCACTAGATTGCGGAACAGAGACCGACGTTAAATAAAGGAAAGAAGAAGAAGAAGAAGAAGAAGATAAGATGTCGCCTCTTTACCAAATTCAGTCTCTTTAGCTTGCACTAGTTTACAAATAAAAGTAAAGAGAATGAACTTCAATGTTTGACCTATGATTCTTATGAAAAAAACGTGCGCTGAATCCAAAAATGTAGTCAGAAACAAAACTTCCACCAATACCACCAATCTCACTGAAAAATTGTATCCAGTTGATCGAGAGCACGTTTAATTTGGCATTAAAATAATTGATATACCTAGCTTGATTACAGCCGGAGATATTTGTATTTTAGTAAACAATTTTTTATCAGATGAAATTTAATTGTTTAGCTGTACCTAACTAGAAAACTAACCTACTGAGATTTTTCTGACCACATTTCTAAATAGAGATGGAATTAGGGCGTAACAGCTTTTGTAAACAATGACTTCTCTCGTTGATTTCTCGAAAGTCATGGCTCTCTCCGGCAAATTGACATCACCATCGAGTAGGCGAAGACTTCCCCTACGTGATTGATATGTTGGTTTGTGTAAGCGACCAACTGTGTTGTGTTGTTTTCAAAGGCTGTTACGCCCTAATTCCAGCTCTATCTGGCTTTCTGGATTCAGTGCACATGGGAAATGACCATCAGCGTACAAAGTTGAAATATGCTGTAAATTAGTGTTATCATTGTGCTTGCCACACAGTCCCAGTCAAAACGTCTATTAATATAAGGTGTCCCAGAATGTCTAAGCACGATTTAAAAAAAAAACGATAACGTAACTCTGTTTACAACAAATTCGATGTTTATTTCATATTCATTTTCTCTATAGTATTTTCTTATAGATAAACGTAGAAAATCCGAGATCCGATCAGTCGTAAGTCAAGGAGCGGATTTTTGATTTCACACTACTGATTAGCTTCAGCACAAATGCCTTTCTAATCATTTTGAATACTTTTCCCAGTCTTCCGCAAATTTTGTAACGGAATCCGCAAACTGGGACAGTTTGGCGGATTCATCTCCTCGGGTACGAATTAAACCTTGTTGGCTTTATACCAGGCTACCATGTCCTTGGAGTAATGAACCAACGCAAAATCCGGCCAAAACAGTACTGAGGCGTCGTTTACCGAACGTTTCGGTAAAAATCGACTCATCCGCGTCGTCAACACTTGGGCCATCACGAACGGTGTAGTACTGATCACCAGGAAGAGTTTTGTAATCAAATTTAACGCATGATTCATCGTCCATAAACACGCACACCGATTTTCCGATTGGTCGTATAACTTCCGAGCCCTCGGTTTGACGGATGCGGCTTGTTTTTCACACCGCTTTGGCTTCTTCTATTTCTAATACGTCTCTAGACCCATTCTTGCCTTGGCCCGCTGGACATTACTCTTCGAGGATCACACTTTTTTGCCACGTCTCGAACCGAAGCACTTTTCTTGCGAGTGAAAGCTTGCACGATTTTCCGGTCCAGATTTTGGTCAACTGGGTTCGGTTTACGTCCAGATTTCAGCTTGTCCTGGAAAGTTGCTTCATCCGAGGCTTCATCTCCATACTTCCGAATCGCGTTTCGAACGGCTCCGATGCTTACACCTTCCAATTTCGCTAATTGACCCAGAGAAATGTTGGCGCCATTTGGGCGCTTTTCCGAAGAAATGCTTCGCATTGTCACGGAAATGTAAAGAACCGACCCTTGCGATACACGAAACTGTTGGTCGAAATCTAAGAGGAAGGGTGACAATTGGCTTCTTCCTCTTTTATTTCTATCTCTATCTCTATCTTTATCTATCTCTATCTCTATCTTACGCACATGAAATCGGCCAATCAGGAGCTGGTTCACGTTTGACAGAAAACTGGTTCATTTTCGCCCCCGTATTGCCACCTCTTCTCTTGGGTCGAAATGTAAACAATGATTCAGCATGATAATCAGCTGTTTAAACGTCATCTTAAACAAACAGGGGTGTTCCAAAGTTGTGCTTAGACATTCTGGGACACCCTATAGCACTTAAATCATCTGAAAAACTCAATTATCATGACCAACAAAAAACGTCAGTGAAAGTGATAAGAGCAAAACTTAAGACAGATTAATCAGCAGCTAGTCAGAACCCATTACCCATACGTAGAGCAATTTGTTTTGAAAACATTCACTGTGGTTTTGTTTGTTTTTGCTTTCAGGAACTGCACCGGTTGTGCCTTTCATGCCAACATTGGTTCGGCAGCTTGGCTTCTCGACGGTCGTCGTGGGAACCATCTACACCGTTCTGCCGATTGTGGGTATGCTAGTGAAGCCACTATTCGGTATCATTGCCGATCGGTTTCAGCGGCAGAAGTTGCTGTTTTTACTTTTTCAGGTGCGTAGATATTAGACCGGTTCAAATGGTTGATCCATTCGATTGCAACTAGGTATGTAATATCAAGATTACCGATTAGGCCTAAAATGAGTATACCCACCAATGTTGGTTCAAATCATAGTGTTTTGATGCATTTATTCAGTCACTTGAGGTGGAAAGACCCATATTCAATAACATACAGCTAGAATAAGGATCTAACAGCTTTTGTAAACAATGGTTTCTCTCGATGATTTCTAGGAATTCAAGTCATGCTCACGCAAACCAACATCACATCGGGTAGGAGAAGGCATCTCATCATTGTTAACAAAAGCTGTTAGGGCCTTCCCAACAAACAATTTGAGTTAATTAACAGCTGAATAATCCATATTTTAGCTGAAGAAGCTTATTTTTGCCTGACTAAGCTCTTATTAAAGTTTCAATGTTTGTTGGGTTATTTCCCTGAACGGGCTCAAAATGCGGGCAGATTTTTAGATAAATTAGATTCCGGAAAAATAATTGATTCGATTATTTAGTTATTCACTATTACATCCCTGGGGAATATTCATTAAATAAGTTACGCTCTTTAGAGGGAGGAGGTAATATGACAAGCATTAAATCAGGTAATGGCAAAAACGGTAAAAACGTGACAAAAGTGATCACATATTGTTCCCCTAGTTCCAAACATAAGCCAGATTCCGGAGATGAACCAGCCCAAGACTGAAAGTCTCCTCAATAAAGATATTAAAACGCAATGCGCCAGATTAAGGCCCTTATTACCAATGTCACTTCACAGTGAGTGACAACTGGTCACTTCACTTCGTTTTCACCGTGAAGTGACACCCGTAATAAGGGCCTAAACTAAACACACGATACAATAGTTGCCTCAATCTCCCGTCTCTGCAGATCCTCTCAGCCGTTCCGTTCTTCCTGATCATGTTCATTCCTGCGATACCACAAGAATCGACCGTATCATTTCACTGTCACGCCGGAGCCTCCGATCTCCGGTACTGCCCTCCGAATGGAACAACATTGGACAACTGCCTAACCGATCGGATTGTGACCGACGAAACCAGTAACCCAACGCTCCTGCGCTGTCAGATGGATTGCCAAACGGAGCCCTGGATGTGGCATACCATCTGCAAGTACTGGAAAGTGGAAAAGTATTGTGACCCGCACAACATCCCCAGCGACAACCACCTCAGATTGACTGGCCTGGTGCCAATGAATCACATCGAATTGGTGGACGACTGCTTATTCTTTTTGCTCAAGGGGGCCGAACTGGATGGCGATCAGGTGCCGTTGTATTGTCCTGCAAATACGACCGATTTCCGAACCAGTTGTCAAGTCAAGTGTGACAACACGGAAATCATGGAAGCCGTAACACAGTCGAAGATTCCAGACAGCGAAGTCAAGGGGCTGTATCAGTTCTGGTTGCTGTTCCTGCTGCTGATTCTGAGCTGGGCCGGTATGGCCGTTGTGGTCAGCGTTGGCGATGCTATCTGTTTCGACATGCTAGGTGATAGGCCACATTTATACGGCAACCAACGGCTTTGGGGTTCGATCGGATGGGGGATTTTTTCGTTGCTGGCCGGTTTCCTGGTCGATCAGTTTTCCAATGGAAAAGCTACCAAGGATTACACGGTGGTGTTTTACATGACTATTGTCATCATTTCCGTGGATATACTGGTCTCATCTAAGCTCAAGGTAATTTGATCCCAGCTCCTGACGTGGATTAATTTCTGAGTATTTTATTTACGTTTCAGCACACTCAAACAAGATTGTCGACTAACATTGTGCGAGATGTTAGTCAAATTTTTGCCTCGGTTAGGATAGTGGTGTTTTTCTGCTGGTGTGCACTGGTTGGTCTGGGTACGGCACTGATCTGGAACTTCCTGTTCTGGCATCTCGAGGATCTTGCCAGCTTGCAAGAAGGGTAGAATGAATATTTGGATAATAGTTGCGCTCATTTTTAACAATTCTGTACTGTTTTCAGATGCGGCCACACAACGTGGATCAAAACGCTTCAAGGAATCGTTATGTCGATCCAGTGCTTCGGTGGCGAACTACCGTTCTTCTTTCTGTCCGGATGGATTTTAAAAAAGATTGGACACATCCATGCCATGAGCGTGGTTCTGCTGGGATTCGGAGTCCGCTTTGTGCTGTACTCCTTACTGGTCGACCCATGGTGGGTCATCCCGATCGAGTTTATGAATGGCATCACATTCGGCCTGTTCTATGCAACCATGGCGTCCTATGCTAGCATCGTGGCACCACCCGGGACGGAAGCTACCATGCAGGTAAAATTTGTTTTGAATGTTAAACAAACATCAAATGTATTCAAATCAATTCTCACCGTTTTACAAGGGCTTGGTCGGCGCCGTATTCGAGGGAGTTGGAGTTTCGCTGGGCAGTCTACTGGCCGGTAATCTCTTCTTCAAGGTTGGCGGCAGTAAAACGTTCAGGTGGTTTGGAGTTGGAGCACTAATATTGTTCGTCGTCCACGTGTTCATCCAGTTTTTGATGGGAGGAACACTCGGATCCAGGGGTAAGAAAGTTGCGGAAAAGATTGTAAGCGATTCCATGTTGAACCAATCAATGGCGAACGGTACCAACAATGGTATCGAAGTGGGTTGTATCATGAACAAGAACCACTCCATCTTGTCCGAGTCGACGGTACAGGAGGAGCTAGAAAGTCCAAAAAGTGAAGAGGTTGCAAAACAGTCACCCAAAATGAACGGAAAAAATGAAGGCAAAACGAAGGGAGACTTTCAGGACGTTAGCCTAGATGAGAATTAGGAACCTTGATTCAGTTTTTCGGTTTTTACAATGCCGTATTGATTGAGTAGGTTTAGTACTAGACTATATACTTCACTATTTTGATTAGGTATACAAAAGACATAAGGTGTCATAATTCAGTACAAAAGAGAAGCATTTGATGTTTAAAAGTAATTTACGTGGAAACGTAGTGAGATTTTTTTTTCAAAACTGGATTTTCATTGTTGAACGTAAGATAGGTTAATGAATAAAAATGAATTTAATTTGAGTACTAACTTGCGTCTCTGATAAGTATGGAAGAGTTGTAGGCGAGTTGGGTTGGGAGCTTAAGAGAATATGTTTATGAACTTGTGTTTGGCTTAGCAAGGTTAAGAGAAACTGCTGTCAACAATATAATAATGAGTATTCCAACGACGCGATAATGCGCAACAGATCCACTAGCTTAGGAGGTTAATTTCTATTTATCCAAAGCGAATTTGCACATGCATTGAAGTAATTCTATGGCAAAAAGCTTAAACGACTTAGCACAACCCTCTCCGATTTTGGTAAAGCTTTTAAAAATTTCTACGAACACGATCAACTTTCTGGCCAATATTCTGTTACACTCCAGAGCTTTAAAATTTTAAATCTGTTATGCCAATGCCACAACTCTCTGTTGAAAAAAGGGTTTAATTATTTTACATTTCATATTTTCTTGTTTAAGTTTAATAGGGTTAACTACCCCATTTCCGGCCTATTAAGCACAACACGCACTTATTCTTTCTTAATCTAGCGCTTAAAAATCAACTTATTGAACATATTTTACAAAGAAAAGCTGTTGCAGGCTTAATGCTTGAAACCTACTTCAACTATCGATTTCAGTTAAGCATAAAAAATAGGTCTATCAGTAGTTTCTTATAACTTATCGTTGATATTCCTTCAGCAGCTTTATAAATAGTCATTGGTTTCTTATATGACACGATGTTTTTCTAGTTTTTTGACGTAGGACTACGTCTGTGATTTCTGCGGGTACACTTTGTGAAAACCGAAAATGGAACATGTAACAAAATTATGAAAGAATTTGAACGTTAATAACTCAGCTGCCCCTTGACCAATTTCAATAATTTTATCCCCAATCGATCGACGCATCTGTTTAATTTAAAACTTTATCATTTTTTTTTTCAAAATGACACTTGAAAATTTAACGAATGTGCAACTGTTGCTATGATAATTAAAATTATCACCGATTGCCTGCGAAAAGTGATTTCCCTAACACAGATTTCAATGTTGAATTCCATCCGGTCTCACCAAACGGTGTTTATTCAATCACCGCGTGGTGAGCGGTGGTGTTCTCCAGTACACAACGAAAGGCTGCCTGCAAGCAGCGAGCTGCAACCCACATGAGCATCCATAGAAGGAGGAAGAAGCCGCACCGCCATTGATCGGAATTAGCAGCTCTTCGTGAGTCGCTGTGGGCCATCTATGCCAGGCGCTTCATACTATAGAGTACAAACAGAGAGAACCCCGCTCAAATTCTTATCCCATAACTCAAAACATAAGCTCCTGCTGCAGTTAACAAATAACATTTATTATATAAGACCACGTAGTCCTACGTCACCATTGCGTACAACCCCATAGGGCTGTCCCTTGAAGTTTTTAATAAACATTAAAGATTTTCATAACAAAATATTACTCAAGTCCATTCGGGGCAATATGAGCACCATTGATATTTCAACTTAAATTCTTCAATTTTGCATTATTCCTTTAATATGACTGTATGTATAGTATCATATGAAATCACGCTTTAAAGCAGCTGCTTTGGTAAAAAATCAGTCATTCACAAAACTGAAAAAAAAATTTAGCCCTAAATAGCCAGTACTTCTTAAATTAATTTATTCTACAGAAAATTGTTTCTATTCAATTTTTATTCATGCTGTAAATGGCTTGAAACTATCCATTCGGTTGAACATCATTCGAATTTCCCACTGAATTTTGTATGTTTAGTGATGATTTTCTTAAGGTGGCCAAACTGCCCAACTTTTCCCTATTGTGAACGGTACAGGTCGAAAATCGATATCCAATTATATTTTGGAATCACATACCCATCAAAGTAACAACCCCCTATCGCAAAACTCAATCATGGCATGGCTATGATGTATGTCTGTATGTCTCACCCCTGTGGCATATTTCACCAACACAATAGGCCGGGTGATAGCACTACTTGGGAGCACAGAGAACAGACGTCCAACTTCCACCAGAAACTTGTGTAATGATAAGTGGGAATGTCGCCGTTACGTAGCGCTAGCATCTCCTGATTTCCTCTATAAATTTTCCACTTTCGACCAATTTGGCGCTAGTATCGATAAATTTTCGGTTGAAAATTACCACTCGGCGCTACCGGCTCTTAGTGTCTAGTGTAAGTTATGCAACGCCAGCACCATTATGTTGTCAAAGAATGTTTTTAAGTGGGGAAGCCGTCTGTTCTCTGTAGCTTGGGACCGAAGATAGTACCAGAGTTGAGCCAAAAAGTTGAGCACGCTTCTAGTCTTAGAGTTACCTCTATGATAGTACCAGCATAGAGGTAACTCTAAGACTAGAAGGTCCCGAAGAAACGTGCTCAACTTTTTCGCTCAGCTCTGGTACTCAAATACATTAGGCCCTGAATCAAAAATCTATTTTTCTGCGTGTAGAATTTCAACTAGAATGGGATACGTTAATCGATTTACTTGGGACCAATAGGCTAGTCAAGTAGTGAGCCAATTTAAAATCGTTAGTTTCCACCGGTTGGTACTACGACATGCACTAAACAAAGGACACGGGCATATCAGTGCCAACATTTCAAAGGGGCGTAATTGCTTTTGTAAACAATGGCTTTAGCCGTCGATTTCTCGCAAATAAAAGTCCACCCCTCCAAATTACCAATGCTAGCTGGGACAGGAAACATTCCTCTACCTGCTGGTGTCATTCATTTTCATGAGTGAGCTTTCATTCGCGAGAAATCGAAGACGAAAGTCATTGTTTACAAATGCAATTACGCCCCTTTGAAATGTTGGCACTGATATCACAAAAGATCAAAGTGTTGGTCGCAGTGATTATGACCCGAACAAAAAAAAATGAACCGTTCTTATACCTATTTGCCATTGAAGGTGGATTTCAAAATGACGTTTCTCATTCATCTAATGTAGAGAGGGTCTAGTATAAGACAGAGACGATGTTATATAAGAGACGCGCGGAGAGAATACAAGTAAATCTGATTGCACGGCCAACTAATTTATTTTTCTGCAAGGTTTGGCAACCCGCAATTTTGTGTTTACTTCAAGTTACTTTTAATTTGAGCGACTGTCACCTGCTTCAGCATCACGGAAAAATGAATACATTTTTAACCGTATCGGTAGTATCGCTATTCAATGGAAGTATTTGAAGACTCAATTTTTGACAACTCTAAAGGGCCACCCACATTAGATCCGTTTGCATTGCGTTGACGTAGAGTTGACAGATAGACAATAGATTTAGCTGTCACTTTGCCGCGACGCGTCCGATCCGGATCTAATGTGCGTGGGTGAAACCAAATATACCACTTTGGAGGATATATTCTACAGAGCGTTGCACAAAATTATTCAATATGCGATGGTTGCTTCCTATCATGTATGAGTGAAATCTCTCTTCTTAAGTCTTTCACAAATTTTACTATCATGAAAAATTACACCAGAAACAACTTGATCTTTGTTACAGAGCCTATGTAGATGTATTTCGTTGTGCTGTAGCAAATATTTCGTGTGAACATATCGAGAATTCAGCTGGTGAATAGCAATAATATTCCCTGTCCAATTTCACTTTTCATACACAAACTTAATTATAATTATTTAAATCTCAACAGTTAACCAGCGTCTGACTGAAAATCTCCTTAATAAAGACAACCAACATCAACAATTAAATTGAACCCCAATCTTTTCTCCGTGAAGCGCTCGTGTTTATTTACATTGCTCGATTGGGACGGCTGGTTTTGAGCCAAACAAACTGTCAAAGCCAGAGCCAATCGAGTAGCACCTATAGTGATTTCTAGCAACACTGCCAATACAATCAAGATATATCCACAGAGAACAGACATAGTGGCTCGAACAAAATTTCTCTAAAAACTTGTGTAAAGCTTCCTATTCGACTTAAGCGCCACTAACGGCGACTTCCACACTTAAAAACCCTCTTTGACAACATGATGGCGCTGGCGTTGCACAAATTACACTAGACACTAAGTGCTAGTAGCGCCAAGTGGCAATTTTCAACAGAAAATTTATCGATACTAGCGCCAAATTGGTCGAAAGTGGAAAATTTATAGAGAAAATCAGGAGATGCTAGCGTTACGCAACGGCGACGTTCCCACTTATTTTACACAAGTTTCGGACCGAACTTGAACGTCTGTTCTCTGTGATATATCTTGGTTGCATTGGCAGTGTTGCTAGAAATCACCTAAGCATATGTTGCCAAGGCAGTTTGTTTTGAATCCGCTCTTCTCAGACCCTCTCTACTGCATAGGAACACTATTCATAGTTTCATGGGAGCTAGCAAGAGCGTCACCCCCAATACTTTTTTTCAAAAGTATTGGGGGTGACACTCTTGCCACAGAGAACAGATGTTGAGGCTCGAACTAAATTTCTGTAAAAACTTGTGTAAAGATTTCTATTCGACTTAAGCGCCTCTAACGGCGACTTCCCCACTTAAAAACCCTCTTTGACAATCTGATGGCGCTGATGTTGCACAACTTATACTAGACACTAAGTGCTGGTAGCGCCAAGTGGTAATTTTCAACAGATAATTTATCGATACTAGCGCCAAATTGGCCGAAAGTGCAAAATTTATAGAGGAAATCAGGAGATGCTAGCGCTACGTAACGGCGACGTTTCCACTTAACTTTACACAAGTTTCTGACCGAACTTGAATGTCTGTTCTCTGTGCTCTTGCCCCACCTGACCCTAGACACCGTGCAGTCTATTGGCGTTGACGGCGACTCTGTAGCTCTTTACTCCTATGAAAAAATCCATAAGCAAACGCCAGACTGTGCGTGAAACATGGCGGACTTTGTACTATCCTTTCGCTCCACCGAAAATTCCCATAAGACGCTGTCTATATTTGCTGGAAGAGAAAACGCCAATTTGAGTTGATGAGTTTCTTTCTGTCACAATCAACTCGGATTCACCTCCAAGCTCTCTACACAAATTTTTTCGCCGAGATTCCAATAGCAGAGTAATTCTGTAATTTATTTAGCTGAGATTCAGTAAAACAATTGCCGAGACTCAGCTAACAAACAGATATTTTGCAGATATATCAGCAAAAGTAAATACCGAGGTAATCGGCTGTTGGAGATTTTACCGAGCTAGATTAAGTGTGTATACCTTAGCTACACACTTAGAAACTATTACCGACGTCGGTAATTTTTTACCGAACTTTAAACAGCTGATAACGTTCGGTAAAACTTTGGCCCTCATTTAAAAAGCTGTTTCACTAAATTTTAATTTCAAGCATGCTGACAGTGTAGCCTTGTTTAAATAATCGATAATCGATTCTTGCCATTGTGGTGAAGTTTTCCTTGTTTTTAGGCAAATTAACTCATCGCTGAGTTCCTGCACTTTTGGCGATTATGAGTGAACTAAACTCAAATTTGAGTCGTTCTCATTCGCCGTGTTTAAAACCGGTAAATTCAAATGTCCGATTTTGACAGTTCAACTAAAAGTCCGTTAAAAATTATCGAAGTCATTAATCATTTCTCAGTGGGTACTTCGTCAAAATTTGCACTAATAGGCTATTTTGAGGCATCATCCATATAGTGCGCTAGGCGATTTTTAGGGGAAATGTCATCCAATCCGTTTGTTTACATCATAATGACGATTTTCAAAACTTTAAATAATGTATATTTGATTGCACATTTTGCAAGTTCCCATCGGAAGTGGTCTTATTTTTCAATTATCTACATATCTGAACTGATTTACAGGTTAAATAAAAAATCCGAAAAATCATAATCGCTGGGACAATTTTATAAAACTTAATTTTTCTCATCGCAAATGTAAGGAAGTAACATCTAGACCACTGCAAAATCAGTACAGAAAACAAAATATTTCACGTGGATGACGAATTCAAGCACCTGCGGTGGATAAATTAATAAGGATAAGTGAAGATATTTTCCTTTTCCTATGCTTTACGGTGAAAATTTCCTCCCTCATCACTCTTTTGAGGGTTTCCCAATTCATCGCCAGAGGCTGAAACGATCGATTAGTTTCTATTGGATTCGCCTAATGGTGTACCTAATCACGTTTTTTAAGTATGTAATAATTTTTATTTCTCGTTAATCAAATATCATAAACAGTGTTGGCAAAATCCGAAATCAATTGATATTTTTCCGCTCTCATGGGCTCTTAATAACAAACAACAAAATATCATGCTTGATATTGATTTTACAAGCTCCTTTGATATTGCGAGACTATTCACAACGTTCAAACATCAAGCTGAGAGTTGACTCGACACAAAAATGATTCCATTGCACATCGTTTTCTTAGAAAGAGAAAGCATAGTTTGCTATCTCTTTTTAATCTTCACCGATGGCAGACGCGAAGGGACTGCTGCAAGCCGTTATGGAAGTTTTTGTTGCATTCGGGTGCAAAGCAAAAATCATTAAACTCAATCTCACCACAACTGCAGTTTGGTGAGATTTGCAGTTGGTGAGTTTTGTTAGCTTGATATTCCGAGCTGCGATATCACAGCTTGCAAAATCAACCGCAGTTGCTTGCTTGTTGATTGTTGTCTACGAAAATCAAGCGTGATCTTGGGCGTTGGTGAGATTTGATTTTTTGATATTTTCCCAACACTGACCGGCAAACCGGCAAACTACGAACATCGTTCGTTGAATAGAGATAACATTTGCTACCTATCTATTTAATTTGTCGGCTCCCCAACATTTTCGCTCTGGATTGCTGCACCCTATGTACAAATTCTGTTCCAAACTTAGGTCCACCGGATAGGTGAGGTGAAAACGTTTAAGAATCCGATGTGTAAATAAAAGTTCAATCTAGGTTTGTTTCTTATTTTTAATCCAAAATACAACCGCTGTAAAGTGGATTTGCCAACCTTCTATACTGCCGCTCTTCGCATGTCGGTCCCATATTTGTTTTGTCAAAACTGAGTGTTTCAATGCAAATGGTAGCTAACTACCTATATTTTCATAATACTGGATGAACTCATCAACTTTGTTCAGAAAAGGTTTGGAAAAACAGTCACATTGGTTGTCCCATCACATAAGATGCAATGACGAAGCAAACTTAAAACGCGATTTTCTCGGGTCGATAGTTGCTATGGGACGGACATGCGAAGAGCGGCAGTATAGGTATAACGGCAGTAAAGAAACCAACGAGATAAATTGATATATAGTTAAAATAGCCTTTTAGACTGAGGGACCAAGAAAACCAGCGACATAGAAAGAAAAATATTGCTTATCTTCGGGATAAGGAACATCCAGATATGGAGTAAAACTTACGTATAAGGGGCTGACCACAAACTACGTTGACAGTTTTCGATTAGACCCCGTTGTCCTTTTATGAACAATCAAGCATACTTTTTTTTGTAGAACCGTGAACCACTCGAAGAAATATATTTCGCGGAACAGATTTCGGGGCACATAATCGTAGCCCCGACATTGCCCTTCAGCCTTGTGCCTTTAAATTGATCTGCTCCTGATGATCCTCGAAATTGTCCTCAAATTCCACAGCACCCACCTCCAAAGTAAAGTACTAGAATAAAGCTAATTTGGGAGTAGACATAAACTTTCAGTGTAGAATTATATGTTGCCGACAGACACCGAGTTCGTGGTCTAGTCGAGGATGCTTTCGAAAATGAATCGAAACAATTTTCCAGCAGGCATTGTTCAGAAGGATGTGATACTTGAAGTAAAATAACGGTTGATAGGAACCTCGATAGTCTAGACAACCACAGATAGTCCAGCCACTCATGCAATCTAATCTCACGCGGTAAAACGCTTTATCTCCTTAAGCTTCAAGATAGTTCACGGTGTCCTCAAGTCTACTTCTGTCCTCGGTGAGATCTGCACAAAGACTGAAACACGCTATCTAATTACTCCGCGAAGCGCCAAACCAACACTTGTTATCTTATTCCCGACGAGCCATCATTAGAGGGACTGCATTCCACAAACAAGTTTCGAACACTATCGAAAAATGTTGCATACCTACCACGATATAATAGCGCGCAAAACGCGTGATTAACAACGGCGTGCTATTACCTTCCCAGTGATAGACGAATAAACGAACGTGACTGACTGAAATGTAAGCAAAGTACCTACAACCGTTTCCTTAATTCTATTGCCGTTGGCTTGTTTGTAGAAAATTGAAGTTTTACTGCATGAATGCACGGATGTTTAAATTTAGTGTTCGATAAAGCGAACAATGCTAAAATTAAAATTCGCTTTTGATCTATAGATTTTTATTTTTCGCTTGCACGAGTTTATAGCATGGCTGCCCTTCTTTATTCCTACACCTATGATCCAATTTAAAACGTATTTGCTTTTCCAGATACTCGCATAGCATACACTACGCCGGAAGATGCATTGCACCACATGGAGGACGACCAGCCGATCGTACAGAGAGGCAAATAGCTGACTGTCATCACGATTGTTTTCAAAGATTTTGCAACTGCAATAGACTTAGTTAGATTTATTGATATGAGAATAAGCACTTTTCTTTAAATATGTGTGTAAACTGTTAACTACAATCATCGAGATTAAAATATTATCTTTGTACTAAAGAATATCAGTGATTTCGATGAATGACAAATGCCACCGTTTCAAAAAGGCTGTAATGTTATTTGTGAACCTTTGTTCGGCAATAAACTGGGATGATTTAATATGTGTACCTAAGTCTTATCAACAAAGGGGCCAATTGATGGCCCAACAAGTACGCTTTTGATTATTTGTGTATCATCCGAAACGCCCTTACTTTCTAAGACTTTTTGTTTTGAGCCTTTTTGCTGCTAGCAACCAACGATTCTTCGTAGTGCAACTGTTGCAATTTGGATGCACATTGGTTGACCTTCAGTTCCTGCATATCGAGCGCTTTGGCCTTTGGGTAGAACAATTTTCAACAACATCAATTAATAAGTTTGAAAAAGTCGGTACTTACCCGTAAACTCTTTGCCCTCTGGTGAATTTGATGCATTTGATTCTTTATACGGATTGCCTTTTCCCTGTAAATTTTTGCCTTGCTGACCTAAAAATAATCGCATTCGTGTTTGGAATATTTATGTTTATGCTGCTCAGCACATCAAGCCGAACAATAAATTAGGTTCGAAGTAACAGATTATCTTCGTCGACTTTCTCTTTACATCCCAACGGCCATGTACACTGAACCTATGACAAACGTAAATTTTACCGGAAAATGCAGGTGACTTCTTAAAACCAAGAATATATTATAGGATTTACAAGCTATACTGGATTTACTGGTCGAGTCCATGTGTCATGCTGGTGAAGGTTATGTGAAATTCACATACATTTTACGTGATCTCATGGTGTGAAAATGTTCTGTGCGTTACCTCGAAGTTCAAGATGGTGACAGAGAAAAGTATAGGCATTCCCCATTGATGGAAAATTTGGGATTGCCAGACAGCCCAGTTTTTAACTTTCATTGGATTTCAGAAAATAATCTTCATTTTTATTAATCCAGAAATGAAATAGCGAATGCAGGATCAGATTATTTGGGCTACTTATAATTTCAATTGACTATTGGCTATTGATTATCCTAGCAAATGGGGGATTTTTTTAAAGTTCCTGGCTAAAATAAATGGTAAGAATCAATTATTTACATTGAAAAAATAGAACGATGATCAATTTTCGCTTTCCACTCTACATTTCCAGCCAAATCAGCGATCTTAATGAAAATATCGAGCTCCCAGAAACTGAAGCCCCTTTCCTAAAGTAAAAAACGTGTGTCCTTATAGAAGCAGTTCCAGCCCAGGATGAGGAAAAAAACAGGCAGTAGATCGAGTGAAATCATGAAATAGGTGGTCCACCAATTAAATACGTGTCACTAAAATAAATGGCTTCATATACTTCATGAAAAAATTAATTGAAAATTACCTCAAACTCACTTAAATATAACTATAAAACCCTGTGATCCTTACTTGAAAGTTCACGTAACTTTTAAGTGTTGCCAATTTGAATATCATCTGTAGGTCCGGTAAAATTTACGTGAAAATCACTTGATTTTTATATGTATCACTCAAACGGGATTTCATTCCCAAAACACGTAATATTCACCTGAAAGTTACGATGGAAAATATCTACGTACAGACTTAGAAAATATTACCGAACTCGGTTTGATTTCAACCAAGTTTTTATCTGCTGAACGCTCGGTAGTCTGTTCGGTTCAAAGAGGAATAACCGAGCTGTCGTTAGTTCTTTTTGTTACCCACAATCTGTCAAAGTTACCGAAAATCTCAACTGACGAAAAAATAAATTTAAGCAGAAATAACCGAACATCGGTTTATTCAAGAATTACCGAACGCTGTCAGACAAATCGACCCACCTGTTGTAATTACGGAATTCGGTTCTCTTGGGCAGCGCTCGGTTTTCACTTCATATCCTGCTTTAAATTTTGATTAATGGTGCTTTGCTTCGAATTTTCATAAAAATAACTGGTTGCCAAAGAAATGTATAAAATATATTTGTTTGGCGAATAAAAACTTCCGTAACGCGAGTTACAGCGTGGTCAAAAAATATCATTGACTTTGAAGTCATTCTTATTCAAAAGGTTTTTAAAATGCTTTTGCAAGCCAGAGACACAACTTTGTACATTTTCACGGCAGTAGAAAAAAACTATAGTACAAGATGCCAGCAAATAAAATCATACCGTTAGTTTCAAATACTTCATACACAGATTTCATTCAAACGTGCATCCTCCTGTTGCAGCTGCAGAACTTAATCCATTTTTACACACGTCCGACGAGCACACGCGAGAAAAAATTGCTGACTAATTTTAGACGAAAATCAATTACTTTATTCATGTGTTTCACTTATACATTTTTGCCAAAACATCAGCCTTATACATTCCATTAGACAAACCACATAGGTCCTATAAGAATGCATAAAAGGTATGTGTGACCGCTTATACATTTCATTTGACACATGATCTTCATTAACTTTTTGCAAGGTGTCTGCTTATTAGTTGACTTATACATTTTATGGATAATCAGTAATAGAAATTTGCCAAAAGGTATAAGGAAATTTCTATCCGTGTAGAGAACCGAGTTTTCGGTTAAAATTCCCGTCGTGAACTTGAGCGCAAGTGGAAAGTTTGACGTTTAAGCGTTTGGCGTTTAACACGTTTTAGCGAATATTCGGTTCAGTTTACCGAGTTTCTCGGTTTTCATGTAGCGAATTCGTAAATGTCGATACTTTACCGTACTTTTCAGTTCAGTCTTCATTTCTATCTTTCAAATTTATACTATTTTACCGAAATTCGGGTCTGCTTCGATAAATACGCCTGAAAAAATGTTTTTTAAACCATTTATTCGGTTTCTCGTTGGTAACCGAAGAGGTTCGGTAGAAAATTAAACCAAGTTCGGTATTATTTTCAAAGTGTGTACCTTTTCCAGTGAATATTACGTGAATTTTATTTGCAGTGTTGGCATGTATAGCTATTTTCACACACAGTTTGATAAAAGAAGCTATTCACCCATATTCTTGTTTTAGTTTGAACCATATTTTCCATATATATTTTTTTGTTGTATGGAAAATACGGTTCGAACGAAAACGAGAATATGAGTGATTATCTAGCATCAAATGCGGCAAACAAGGCAAGAAACGTGTTTGAAGTCAAGTTATTACCGAAAGAGAAAGTATTTGAAGAGAACCGATCAATATTATTTAGGACCTAACCCATTGTACAGCTTGAAATTTAAATTACCATCTCACTAATTTGCTGCACTTCTTGGCTGGTATAAGCTTGTTTTTCATTTATTATTGCAATCTGCATTTCCTCTTGTTTATCCCTGTAAAAACCATTTTATGGTATCTCTGAGCTATATTAACAAATTGCTACTTAGTTAAACTTACAGCAACTCCTTCAAATTTCCTTTTACTTGATTCAACGTTGGCTCATACATTTGAAGTAGACCGGATGAGAGAGCCCTCACTGTTTCGGTGTACTCACTGGTGTCCACTCCCTCGGTGCTATGTGATCGTGAAAGAGGAGATGCAAAATCAGCATCATCATTATTCTAATGATTATAGCTTATAATGAACTTTAATCAATTGCTTACATATCCTCTGACATAATCGTTGTTCTGGTTTGCCGTAGAAAGCGTAAAAGTTAAAAAATATCACTAAATTCAGCTTTAATTTGGAAATAACTTATGCAAATTGAACAACAGATGGGCTGATTCTTTTGTTTGTGTTCATTTTCCCTTTATCAGTGATGAATGCTCTGAGAGAGTACATCTGTTTAATGAATTCCGGAGAGCGTTCTCGATGTAGTTAGGCACTGTGGAAAAAAAATAAAGCTTGAAAAGGCAAAGGCTCGAGCAGTATGATGAGATTAGAAAAAAAGTGGAGGAGAGAACGAGGCTCATTCGGTTTCTGAGGTCCAGCATTATGCCTTGTTCGCACTAGCGCCTTCATAACATTTTATAATAATTATCAACATGAAAAATGCCGGTGGGCGTTGGCCAGATTTGATTTTTTCAGATATAATCCTAAATAGGACCTAGATTATTTAATACTCTAGTAACCTCAACTCCGTGCTCTGTCACAATGTTTGATTGTGATTAATCAACACTCAAAGGGATAAAATATCAATTTAGGGTGAATTTGAAAAAAAAAATGGAACTTGGAGTGTAGAGCGCACTGCCCACTGGACGATTCTGAAGCCTGGCCAAGTGAGTGGGGTATGGGTTTGTCATTTCCAATTTATATATTGACACTTTCAAACCATTGGCATTTGGTATTTGAGATAAGACAGAGATAGGATGCGGAGATGCTTAGGGGGAGCGTAACCCATGTTATTAGGTTTTGCACCGTCGGGGTTAACCTCAATCTGATGACAGTTCAGTGGTACTGTTTACGTTGACTTAGTCGATTTTTTCTTGGGTGGATTTTCTCGATAATTTTTCAGACTGCAGTGAGATGTAAACAGTATTTCTGCAATGTTCACGAGCAACAATCTTGCAACGCGCTGTTCCTCGACAATTTTCAAGTTAAAATTCAGAAATTTTTGAAATTTTTTTTCGAAAAAACGACTAAGTGCTTGTAAACAGTACCACTAAACTGTCAAAAAGGTTCAGCCGATTAACACTGAGTTCATTTATGACGTCACGCTGCAGTACCTAATGGTTTCCATTTATTAAATAGTTCAGGTAGGCTAGAAATGCCCGTTCACTGATTAAAATCAGATTCACATCGACAGGCCATGCCCAAGAATAAGGGGATTGACGATGATTTGTCAAGTTTTATTTTGCATTTGCATATAATTGTAATTTTAGTTTGCTTTTGTAATTGAGAGATTTATGGGCTTCAGCGAAACAGAGTCTGATGAAGGATTGAATGAATGAATGAATTAAGTAGTTAAGATAATAATAAAATAAGAATAATAAGATAACGTAACATGATGCACTAACTAATTAACTGGATTAACGGGATCGACTATGGGAATAGGAACCTAAATTAATAACATATTTAAGATTAGCGAGATTTAATAACCAATAATTGTGAAGATATGGATTGGGTAGGGGATCTGGGAACATTTACATAAAGTTCGCCCATGGGGAGGGATATGATAACACGGAAGCTACAATAGGAGAGGAACACAACAATAGAATGCATTCAGGAGGAGGGGCTTGTTAAAGCACTGTTTTTCAGATTTACAGATTTCTGTTTTCAGGTCTCTTATTCAGCGGAACGCGAGGATGGACGTCATGATAAACGACTAACGATAAACTAATCCCAACCAAGTTTTGAAGAAAAACCATTAACTAGTTGCGGCTGAAAGGAGATACCAACATTTTCTATTCCTGTTTCTGTCGGTTTTTGTTTTTGTCTCGTTTCAGTCACGCAACTGATTACTACCAATAACCAATTACAATTAACTAGTGAAGAAGTATAAACGAATTTTGTTGATTATGATTATGAATTAAATCCGCCAGGACATCGCAGCAAAGGCAAACACTAAGGCGGCGGAGCGTCAATAAGTAAATCAAGCAAGCCGATAGGAATTTGACCTGGGCGCAGGTCAAGCAGCTGCTTAGAATGGAAGTCTTTCACGTTTTCCCTGTGCACTTCTGAAGGTTCCCAGGTATTTGAGTACGACAGCGATGGACGTAGCCCCCTTGTAACGGATGCGAATAAACAACAAGCTGGCGTGTTTTTTTAGTTCTTTTTATTTCTTTTCAGCAAAACAACAAAATCCTCTATCTCTCTCTTTATTTTTTTAATCTCTTACTATCCCCTAATCGGACGCTAGTGGGACCAACAAGCTTGCTAGTGAAAGAAAAGTCGTTATGCTATACGGTCTAGCATAGGCCACGACTAAATTTCCGTAGGCTCATGCCTGGCTAAAGTGCAGATCGGTAGGCAGCAGCCGGGCAGGGTGTGGACTCGAGCAATAACAATTATCAACATGAAAATTGCCATACTTTGTTCAGACAATCATACAGTTTTAATATATTTGTTTTACCTACCTAACGCCTTGTTCAGACTACAGAGTTATAAGTAACATGTCTTAATATTGATCTATAAGAAAAATGTCATGTAATTATAATAACATGCTGCAGTGGCTGTAGGAAGTTTAGGCCCAAAGGTGTAAAATACGAAAATACAAAGACAGAACCCAACTTTATGGATCGACATTCTAAAAAGGCTAGGCACCGGACATTTTTCAATTTCTCTTGCAATGAAACCAACGCCAATTGCGATTTAGATTGTATAAATTCAACGTTTTTATTAACGCGCACTTTTAAGATGCTTAATCGTACATATGACTGAAGTGATCCTGGTACACCTGGATGTAGGTTTCCTTCTCCTGCGGTGACATCTCTGCTATCAGCGTATCGTTAATCTCATCCAGCGGATACGGCCGACCGGCCACCGTTACCGTGGGCGTGTCATCGTCCGAATCGGTATCCATAATTTCCACCGTGGGCACTTCCGTATTGTCGATGTCTTTCTCCTCATCGCTACTATCGCTGGAGTTGTCGTTGTTGAGACCCAATCCCCGAATAGCGTCGTTCGTAGTACTTCGCGAAGTTTGCTTTTCGTGCTGTAACAGCACCGACATGATATCGTCGGCTTCCCTACGGTTGCGCGCAGACGAGATAACATTCGTATTGCCGGACACCGCGGGTGGTTGCGTTGAAGTGAGGGCAGCTTTTTCGAGTATCGATTCCACTGAATTCTCTTCGGCATCATTGGTGATAACGGTGGACTCTGTCATCCATACCGGGCGATCCTTTCTTTGAGCAGTTGATTCCACTGCATCTGAATCTCCGATGGTTACATCCACACGGGTTTCTTCCACAGCAAAACCGCTGGATCGCGTTGCTTCGCCAGACCATTGTTCCGACGAACCTCTGTAGGTAGGTTTAACGACACTGTAATGATATAAAAAAAAAAAAAATTAACGACGAAGTCCACATTAATTTCTAAGTTAAACCCATACCCTCGGATAGTATCGATGTCCACCGGTTCGGGTTCCAAAATCTCCGGAGCAAGCTTGATATCTTCCACCTCCCGCAGTAGATCATATAACGGTTGCAGTTGCTCGTTGAACTTGGCTAGCAGCAAACGTGAATCTTTCTTTGGCAGAGCGGAGCTGTCCTCCTCGACCGTACTTCCACAAAATGTACACCGAAACTCGCCGGTAGTGAAATCGAACAGCTGATCAGCTTCCAGATCTGTGAAAGTCTTTTTACAAGAAGGACACTTGAAACTTGCGCGACTTGTTGCATCACGTTCTTCGGTTTCCATTCGTTTTCGCATGTGATCTAGTTTGTATTTCACTACGTTGACGAATGTTTTATAGTTGATGAAGTAGTAGTTGACTTTCTGTGCTTTCCCATCCGGTCCAGTTTCCATTTTTAACCGCACCTGCAGGAATTTGTCATTTTTCAACACCGATATCCGTGCGCGCAGCATTTTCCGTTCGAACTTAAGTAGCTCGCATATGTCGTCCTCCTTCATGCAAGGGTTGCGCACCAGCATGTCTATTACCAGTGCATCTTCGAGGGTATAGAAGCCACGGACAACAAACCGAGCTAGTTGTTTTAAACTGCTCGGTATTTCAGTTACGTAGCGTTGATCACCCATTTTCCTGCGTCACAGTATTTCTTCCAAAAAAAATTTGCGAATACGGCTAATAGACCTGAAATAGATAAAGCAATATAACATGTAGGGTAAGATGGGGCAAAATGGGTCGCTGAGAAAGATGAGTCAGCTAGTATATTTATTATTATAATTGTTTGTCAAAATCAACAGATTCAATGCAACCCCATTGATGGTTTGATTTTTCAAACCAGAATTGGGACCACAAAAAAAAAAACAAATAAATCATATATATGACCCATATTTCGCCACCTTACCCTACTACATGTACAAAATAATATTGGATGATGCACGATAATCTATCTCTCTAGTTGAATCATTGTATAAAATCATTCTGTCTTATCAAAGGATGTTCAAATCAAGGTTCAAATTTAAAAATGTCTTCCGTGAAACGTTTTGGATAAAATTAGTGTTGCCTCCAAAAAGCACCAATAAAGTAACGTTTTGGGAATGTCACGTGATTAGAAAAGCATATACAAAAAAATAACATTAGAAAAGCTTGTATGGTGTCATAGTGAGCAGCGTTTATAATTTAGAAAAAGAGAGTAGAAAGCGAGCAAGGACAACTTTTATGAAAGTACAAATCGGTTTGATCATCTCTCTTTACCAAACTCTGAAGAGGGATGGTGAGCTTATTCAGGCAAAAATATGCTTATCCGGCTAAAAAAAAAACTTATTGTGAAAATTAAGATTTTTCGGTTTTCTGCATACAAAATAACTCGCCGCAAATTTTATATTCCTAATTAAAAACATCTGTTGCAAAACTTAATAATCCTGATAATCCATTGGTAACAATCACTGCAGTTTTATAATTTGTACAGGGATGCCACATTTGAATCATTATTTTGAAGACATTTTTTCTGTGCAGCCTTTTTTAGGACACTGCTTTCTAATATCAACATGAAGCTTTAGTGCGATATTAGTAAAGCATTTCCTTCGAACTTTGTAAGCGTAAACATTACGGATGAAGCAACAAACCCTTTGCATTTCTTAGTTTATGAGCACTTTTTAAGGGCATTTGAAGATATTTGAAAACTAAATCATCTACTCACCCCTTGTGAATCGTGAAATGAAGTGGAGTTCGTTCGCCTAAATTGCGTTCAGAGTTCGCTTCCAAACCTTGCTCATGTGTGCGTGAACTTCATGCTCTCACTAAATCCAAATGAACACCTCTCTCACCGTAGGCGACGAGAGAAAGTCAACACAACAAACCGAAAACATCAACGAACCGAGCTTCTGACTGACGTTTGACAACCCCTTTTCGGACGCACATTCGCTGTTGTAGACTGTTTCTCTCACCGATTTCCCCCGGACGACACGACGTCGTTCGCTTGAAGCAGTGTTGTTTTTCTTCCTCTGGAGCTAGGTTGGATTCACTGATCGGATAATTTTCGTGTTTATGGCGGCTATCGACAAAGTTCGCGTTCTAGTTGTAGGCGATTCCGGTAATGCACCACATTATGTACCCGGTGAAAAACTTTTACGGACGAATCGAGCGCTAATTCGACGGAAAAATTGAACTTTTCTGGGCTACGATCAAACGTCAAACACAACAGCGTATCGCCATGTTGAAAATCCACTCTGCCCACCCCGATCCCGACCTGCTGGTTGTCCAGTGCTGGCAGATTTGTAGATTTGGTTGTTAACATTAAAGTTCTACTACTTCAGTCAAAGTCATTCAATTCGATTTAATTTGGTGTGTCCGCCAATTTTTCCCAACCAATCTATTGACCCTATAAATGGTGTGGCACTATTTTTTTTCTAGGTGTGGGCAAAACCTCCCTGACGCATCTGATTGCGAACAATGAAGCGCTGACGTCACCCGGATGGACTGTTGGTTGCGCCGTTGAGGTGAAGCTTCACGAGTACAAGGAAGGTACCCCCTCGCAGAATACATTCTTTATAGAATTGTGGGATGTAGGTGGATCGATAAGCCATAAGAATACCCGAGGAGTGTTCTACAACCCAACACATGGTATCATTTTGGTACACGATCTCACTAACAAGAAAAGCCACGAGAACTTGCAGCGATGGTTAGTAGAGATCCTCAATAAGGATGGGAAGGACGTTCTCAAAGGGGGTGATATCATCGATATTGATCCAGAACAATTTCTCGGTTCGACTCAGGTAAAATTGAAGCGAATTTCCCAAAGTAACGCGTGAGATAAAGGAATAATTTTTAGTTCAAAAATTCTCAGATTCCAATACTTGTCATCGGAACTAAACTTGACATGCTGGATGAAAGTCACAAGAATAAAACCCTGAACAAATCATCCACTGAGAGTATAGCCGAACAATGTGGAGCTGACGAGATATGTCTAAATTGTCACGAATCTAGGAGTTTGGCCGCAGGAACAACGGATGCAGTGAAACTGTCGCGGTTTTTTGACAAAGTCATCGAACGCAAATACTACAGTAGAGACACAGGGCGAAAGTATACGGGTTCTTATAACCCTTCCCTTCCGGGACAATACAATGCTTTCGGAGGACCGCCACAAGCTAGTCTTTACAGTTCGGCTCATTCGGAGACAATAGCTTAGAATAAATAGTGATCGTAATATAGTAAATTGCAAATTCATTTATTCCGAAATGTTAAAACACTGTACTTTAACCTGGTGGCCATTTCATCTGCCGTCCGCCGAGGACGTGCAAATGTAAATGGTAAACCGACTGGGCACCATTCTTGCCGTCATTGATAACAATACGGAAACCTTCTTCGAGGCCCTGTTCCAAAGCCACCTTCTTCGCTACCAACATCAAATGACCCAGTAGGGCTTCATCTTGTTCGGTCGCCTTCGACAGTTGCGGAATCGGTTTTTTGGGGATTACCAGGAAGTGGATCGGTGCCTGGGCGCTGATATCGTGAAATGCAACGGTCTGTGGGTGAAATAAAGGACTGTAAATAACCCTGAATCATACAGGACCGGGACCTTCCATAATATTTACCTTATCATCCTCGTAGATGAATTTGCAGGGGATTTCCTTGCGGATGATCTTCCCGAAGATCGTATCACCATCGGTCGAGTCAGCCACCTGGGCTTTTGCAACCTCGTCGGACATCACGGATGCTCGGCTTTTTATTTGCTGCCAAGGAAAAGTCGAACAGCCGAACGCAAAATTTTATTGTAAAATTATTCACACATGAAATGCTGCCAGAAGAAAAGAAATAAAACAGCAAATTCAGCTAAACGTCATAATGAAGGTCACATGATAGATACTCATGTAATAGATGTGCGGATCTAATATGGACAGGTCTGTGCCATAAAAAAGGGAGGGAGATGCACAGAAAAAAAAAGTTGTTGCAACCCAACCTGGTCTATACAAGGTGTGGAATTGATGGCCTGTGCGTATTGGTGCAGTTCGTTTTTCACTCGGCTTCGCACGATTTGCTTCTTCCGTACGCTCAAACACGCTCGTAGTTACGTCATAACGTTTGTTTCAATCAGCGTTTGCATTGGAAATTGAATATGAATTATAGAATTTCTGTATGAAGCCAACATTTATGATTTTTTTTTCCACTGAATGTTGAGATAATGTATTGATTATTTTATTAGCACACTGTATACCAGGAAAAAGCAGCCTCCTGGTCAGTTTTTGCCCGTTTTCAAGTAAGTAGCTACTATAAAAATACAAAACGACTGCTGATATTTCCCGGATACTTTACAAAAGCATACACAGCAAAAAAAGTTGTTGAATATTACATCGAAACTGCTGCAACCAGGTCAATCTATCGGTTGTGCAATATCACATTGTACGATGTACATCGATTTTGCGAACAAAATTACATCCATTGATGTAATATTGTATCTGCTTTTTGCTATTACATCATTATTTCATACATCAGCTTGAATTACGTTGATCGATATTACATTTTTTTTTTTGCTGTGTACAAGCAAGAGCAATCATCAAGCAAACATATCTAGAATTTGCTGTACCTCATATTTCAAAATTTGCTTTCGACTGCTATGACGTCGTGGTCATCCTCTCCAGCAATGTTTACCTTTTTCCCTCTACCAACACATACGTGAGGGCTAGATCTCCACACCTTGTATAGACCAGGTTGGTTGCAACCAGGTCCCCGCATAAACGCGAACCATAAATTGACCTTACCTAAAATGGTTAAAAATTGTTTATAATCCCTGCTAAACTTTAACTGAAATGGTTATGGAACTTTACATGAACGTTTAATGATAAAGTTTCAACCTTATGTATTATGGTTTTTTGGAACTGGACCTTACAAATAATGGGTTGTTAAGAACCATTACCATTCCAAATTCTTGTTTTCTCCATACATTTTCAGAAAGAGAACTATATAAGAACGTTTTTACTTATGATTTGAGAACATTAATGGTAATGGTTATGGTAGTCAGTAAGGTCCATTAATGGTGTTGTATTATCGCTCAACTTTACGTGGAATATATCGTGAATTGGTAATCAGTAAATAACAGGCAACCAATTCGCGATATATTCCACATAAAGTGTATCGATGTTACAAAACCATTCGTGGACCTTACTGACTACCATAACCATTAACATTAAAGTTCTCAAACCATAAGTTAAAAGGTTCTAATATAGTTCTCTTTCCGAAAATGTATGGAGAAAACAAGAATTTGGAACGGTAATGGTTCTTAACAACCCATTATTTGTAAGGTCCAGTTCCAAAAAACCATAATACATAAGGTTGAAACTTTATCATTAAACGTTCATGTAAAGTTCCATAACCATTTCAGTTAAAGTTTAGCAGGGATTATAAACAATTTTTAGCCATTTTAGATAAGGTCAATTTATGGTTCACGTTTATGCGGGTCAAAAAACTGCTGCAACCAGGTCAATCCATCGGTTATAACGTTGTACGATGTACATCGATTTTGCGAACAAAATTACATCCATTGATGTAATATTGTATCTGCTTTTTGCTATTACATCATTATTTCATACATCAGCTTGAATTACATCGATCGATATTACATTTTTTTTTGCTGTGTGAGCGGATGTCGATTGTATCTTCACGCAGAAAAAATTACCGTCGAAACAAAAATATTTGAGGTAAATTTAAACGTAAATTCAGTTTGTTCTGGCCACAAACATAAACTAGGTTGATTTCAAACGTATTCTACGTTTGAATCCATTGATAATAATGTTTAAAACAAAAATAATGTTACGTTTATTTTAAAAATATTCGTGTTGAAAATAAACGTGAATATTTTTGATTTATTTGAAAACTATATGCAATCAAAAATTAATATGTTTATTTTAAACATGCTTTTCATGTTTAAAATAAACAAACATATTTTGAAATTATTTTAGCATTTGAATGCTGAATAAATCAAAATAAAATGGATAGCAAATTAATGGAAATTCCTGCGATTATGGAAAGTCTGTGGATGTTTGGATCCGGGGGGCCGTCGGGGTGGGTGTCCGATCCGATCCAGTTCAGTAAAACTGGTGAAACTTTGTGATATTAGCGTCATTTTGTCGTTTATGACGCTGGTCCTCATACCGGCCTCTTTCTACGTTTAGTGTTCGGGGATGATCTGTTTTTCTTTCGACGTCGGGTGGGGGGTGAGGATGATATGGGGATCGGTATCAGAAACGACGGATTGCCGTTAATATTGTGATGTTCCACCGGTTTTGTCGAGCTTGGAACATTGCGTGGGTTTCCGGACCCTCTACTTCGGTTTCGCCGCTTGCAGGCCGTTTTCGGTTAAGTTTGCCGAATGTAAACAAGAAGGAAAAAAGGACACGCTAAAAATTGATTACCCAGGTTATGTATTGTTGAAATAAACATGCTTTTGAATTTATTCTAAACATACATATTTTTGTTGAGAACATGTTTGTAATTTACTTTGAACTATTCATATTTTTATTTAATAAACATATCAGTGCTAACATTTGAAAACGGCACAAAAGCCATTTGTAAACAAATGGTTTGTGGGCCCTTTACTCGCTACCCGAAGAACGCCCACGCAAACAAACAGCATCGTCAGGAAGGGGAAAATTTCCCCTACCCGATGTTGCTGTTGTGTCGCGTGGGTGTACTTCAAGTAGTGAGTAAAGGGCCCACAAACCATTTGTTTACAAATGGCTTTTGTGCCGTTTTCAAATGTTAGCACTGATATATATTTTTAACTTAAATGAACAAAATTTGGTTCCGTGTTATAGTACGTTCAGACTACAGAGTTATAACGTGGTTATAAGGTTATAACATGTTATAGCCCGCATAAACAATAACCATAAGAAGCGCCTAACCACCAATTCGGGATATCATCCCAACTTTATGTGGGATGGTCGTACCATCTATGATATCGTTAGAGTATGGTACCCGTTTATTAGGGAGCGCTATCTTGATGGTGGTTTCTGTGTTGCAATTATTTGGCAACCGTTATAACATGTTATAACGGTTGTCAACTAATTGCAACACAGAAAGCACCATCAAGATAGCGCTATAACATGTTATAACTCTGTAGTCTGAACGTACTATTAGATAATTAAAACATAGATTTGCCACTTCGGAAAATAAACTGACAACAACAATGTGGCGCCTAACTGAGAAAGGCGGTCAACGGGTGAACTATTTTTTCTCCCTGCGCATTCATAACTTTGCACGCTAAGATTAATTTACTTCGATTGCACAAAGAAATTATCTTGATTGGGTGCATAACGAACAAACCCAAATGGTGTTCATATATGATTTATTTTTATGCAAAATTGTCATAAATTTTTCCATGTTTTGGTTCGTCCAGTTTACGCCCAATTTGAGTAAACATACGCTATATACGGCTTATTTAATCATAGCGTGCAGAGTTTTGTGATAAGCGTGTATATCTGCATTTGCGTGAACAAATACTTTGAGTACCGATTCCTGTCTGAAACAACCGTGATTCATACCAGAAACCAAAATAGGGCTTCATCTTCTTCTTCTTCGCATTTAAAGTTTATTGCATATCGCTTCCAGTCCAAGTTCAAACACGTTTCACAAGCTTCTAGAGAAAAAAGATGTTTCCCTAGCTGTTGTTTTTTGATGAACATTTGAATGATATTTTCTTGGGTTTCAGCTCAAGAGACTTAGAGAAATGGATTAACGTCTGGGGTGTCATGAAATTTTCGAAAGAGTCGGTTATTTGCAGCTATCAGGATGACGACATCATTATTCCGCTTTGCAAAACTCAGGAATTAGCGTTAATTGATGTCTATTAATTCTTAATAATATATTATAAACTTTTCTTATCTGCAGACTGCTACCAACAGCTGTTCCGTCTTCAAATCGGAACGTTGCGAGCCAAATTTCACGTTTAGATGGCATTAGTTCGATGGATGTTGACTTTCAATTTAGCGAGTCGGAATCGGAATGTATAGAGATTGACGATATTCATGACAATATAGTTGCACATTATCAATATTATTGACAATATTTCTCCACCACTTAAGATTGAACACTGCTAATAAAAAGCAAAACAAAACCGATGTGAAAAAATGTCAATTTGCAACGTCAGACGTGGAATGCGCCATCCAAAACATTAATGTATACGCAGGGCAGTTTTGATTCAAAATGCGCACCCATTTCGGCTGCTAAACTTTTAGTTCACCCGTTGGCCGACAGATAGCGCGCTATCAATGTTACTTTTCGAGTAAAAGCAGGGATGCCCGACTGAGCAATCTATTTTAATTATCTAATGTCGTTTTCGTTTTTGCGGTGTAGCTACACCGGTGCTACACTGCCGTACACCGAAATATTGTAGGGTGTAGATATAGAATGCACCTTTGTTTACAAACAAATGATGTTGAGCTGTCAAAGACTCACGCTTATTCCTGCTTACACTACACCAGTGCTACACCCGAGGCTACACCGCAAAAACGAAAACGACATAAGGCTTGAATTACGTTGATCGATATTACTTTTTTTGCTGTGTTGGAGATGAGTGAAAAGAATTTCATTTTGGGTAATTTTTCGGTTCCGTGCATACAAAAATTCAACATGACTGAATCATGAATTTGACACATTAGAAGACCTATATGTAGTTACCTTGGATTAAACGCTGTAAAGTTGAGAAACATTTTAATTAGGTTTGTGCCATAAATTGGAAAGAAAATTTTTAATTAATGTTTGGATTTTGTTCTCAATAATTGATAATAATTATTGAAAAACAAAAATCAATAACTATTAATGTTTTTTTGTGATCGAGCAGTGATAGTTTTGTGGAAATTGTCTAATAATTGTCAAAAATGATCGCTAATATACCGAATCAGCAGTCAGCAAATGAGTCCTTGATGGAGAATTCAACATCGAGCTTCGGATTTCCCGGATGTAGATATAATCTTCGGAATCGAGGTGAGAATTACCTATACACATATTCTCAACCGTAGTTTCGGAGCTGAATGCTAACAAAATTTGTTATTAAATCTAGTTATGTTTCTTAAAATATTTGTGTGCCACAAGCAACTATTTTGTAAAGAAAAAAAAATCACGGGCAACTACAACTGAGCGATTGAATTCAATAATTATTGACTCAGAGCATTTTATTTGCATACGAAATTTACTCATATTGTGAAAAAAACTGCAATTACTCATTAGCTATGAGTAACTGCAGTTTTTTTCCACGACTTCAGTATTCATACAGCATAAATTACTAGACATGATTTGATAAGAGGAAAACTAGTCTTACACATTTTACATCGCCGTAATTAGAAAGAATGATCATTGATCAGACTTGGTATTAGGCCCTAGAAGTTCTTGATCCCTGGCCTCCACAATAGATCCTTTTTATTTATTTATTTGTCAACATCGACAGGCTTAACGTAGGTGATTTGAGACAGTAAATTTCGTAAATGATCATAGTTTGATGCTATCGTTTATGTTGGAAGTTACCCTGCGAATCGAGTGACGTGAAGTGATTAATGTTGTTTATTATTAGCTCTTATGTAACATGACTCGACCGGGATTCCTTTCAACTTAATTCATAACCAGTCCATATCCTTCCCGAAGGGCTTTTATGTAGTGTGCTTACATTATTTAGCAAATAATTCCTCCCGCATCCTCAGCTTTGGCTTGACTAGCACTAAATATTCTACACTGACGAATTCCGGTTCTGTGCTTTACCGTTAGTATGCTAATATATCAGTGCCAACATTTCAAAGGGGCGTAATTGCTTTTGTAAACAATGGCTTTAGCTGTCGATTTCTCGCAACTGAAAGCTCACCTCTTCAAATTAATAATTCTAGATGGTAGAGGAAACATTCCCCTACTTGGTGGTGTAAATAACTTTCATGAGTGAGCTTTTATTCAAGAGAAACAGAAGGCTAAAACCATTGTTTACAAATGCAATTACGCCCCTTTGAAATGTTGGCACTGATATGTTTTTCATTGACAACAGGCCCACCGATGTTTACAGCGCTGGCGGAGAAGGAATGTCCCATTTGTCTGTCAGATGTTTTCGAGAAACCCGTGGTTGTAAACTGTGGTCACACATTCTGCTATCAGTGCATTCAATTGGCGATGGTTAAACACAAAAGCTGTCCAATATGCAATCAGGTCCTGATCGAAAGTCTTTTCTTGAGCGATACTATCTATACCCGGAAACTGACCAGAACGAACCGGAGTCCAGTGCGTGCCAAGGTACAGGTTTTCAGTTCTGTTGGGAAAAATGTGAGCGATGCATTGCCGGTCGGTATCAAAGCATCGCAGAGATCCCAACCATCAAGTCGTAGAGGAAAAGATTCAGCCAAATCGAGGGAGCTACGCAGAACGCGTACCTAATCTTGCAATTATATTTGGGTTCAGTGAAGTAGAACTGTGTAGAGAAAATGGTATCCTTTAGATAATACTTGTTCTTGCAGATAATGATGTCATCATAGCGTTCCTTATTTTGCTGTTAATTGTCAGCTTTCGAAGAGAAATAAACGTAAAATAATCGTTCTTTTTATTAATTGATGTCATTTTATATCTTCGATTCTATTAAAATAAAGGTTCGCAAAGTTCGTCCTTCTTCAATTACTGGAAATACCTAATAAAGAGAACCGGAAGCGAAAAACACATGAATTTGATATGTGTTATACATATTCAGCCATATTCTTGTTTTCGTTCGTTTTTTTGTATGGAAAATACGGTTCGAACGAAAACGAGAATATGGGTGATGAAGTAATGATCAAGAGGTATTCCGTTCTTTCAAATCCCAATTAGAGCAGACGGAAAGTTTCGGCTTTTAATTATCCTATGTTGCATTAAATTATTTACAATCTCGATATTGAAATGTATTATTAACTGTCATCATCTCGCCTTGTCCGGATGACAATAAAATATGCATAAGCTCAGCATGCCGGCTACCAATGCCACCAGTGGCGTTATCCTTGGAAGAAATCCACTCCCTACTCCTACCAGGTTGCCAGCTATCACATCTCGCATTTCGTCACCTGCCAAGCAAGGGAATAGATTAGCATATTAAAATAACCGAAAGTGCCATTCAGTTACTCACCATCCAAAATGTGGACGATGGTACTAGCAGCGCCGTACAGCTCCGGAGCGCACGTATAGTTGCCAGAATCGTCAAAGTCGACGTTCCGTATCATATGATACGATGTGATGCTGTTTAGGGGAGATTTGTCCCGTTTTCGTAACGATTCATATGCAACGATCTGTAAAATATTGTGATGACATTATTTAACAATGCACATGGTCTTTGGGTTGAATGGATTGCTTATTCCTTACATCATTTTGGTGATACCATATAACGTAACTCGGTCGTCGATCGTAGTTGTGATTTATGATGCAGGTCAGATTCAGGTTTTCGCCTTTGTACCCGTAGACCATGGTTCCTTCCACTATTTGCGTGGTGGCGGTCAAATATAGATAGTCTGGAAAAAGGCAAGAGAAACTTCTGTGAGATATGAATGGTTCGAACGTAGGTGTACGTACAATAAGTTGATTAATGTGTAGGTTCAAAAGGATTGTTTATGTCTATTGAACTTATCGAAATTGTGCGCTTTTGGTCAAAAATTGTCTATATTTTTTAAACTATTTTCTATGTGCAAATTAATGTCTTCGGCATGGCATTTGTTTATAGACTTCTCTGAATGACCAAGTGGTAGTGCAACCAACTTTGGTCGACTTAGCTCATTCGGAGGCGCTTTTGATTTAAAGTTATATGGGAATTTTGGTTGAAATGTATGGAAGCTTAACATCCCTTCATTCTTTCGTGCATAGAACTATTGTGCTCAGAATTTCAGCACATGTAGCTAAAATTATAAGGAACAACTTTGCTGAAGACATTATCACGATTCAAGTGGACTCTATCTACGATGCAGGAAAAATTGTGTTTTGCTGTGGTTAGCTGCGCGCACGCTGAGTCGATAGAAAGAAGATTGATGACGATTCTGGGGATTTCCTGCAAAATGATGGTGCGCGATGCAAGTAGATTCGAGAAGTGCAGGAAGATTTTACGAGGATTGATTCGCTAGTGTGAGATTTGTTGAGCATCTTGAATTGAGATTTAGATGTGTCGCCTCCCTCGATTATGGGTCAGTCAGTTCTGCGTGTTAATTAATAGAAGTGGCCCATAATCATCAACAATTAGGGTGACTGTATTTAGTATGTAATTTTTTGTTGTTTTCTTAAATATTGATGTTGGTATTCCTTATAAATTTTATGAAGTAATCGAAGTGTAAGCTAATCTCGGGACAAGTTCCGGGTATAGGTACATAGTAAAATAATATCAAAGCATGCTATCATATCTCGTTAAGCTATTGGTTTGTTGTTGAATAAATCAAACCAATAATATAGTAATGACTCATTCTGTTATAATAACACAATTTTTTAATGTTATTTATGTTATTTTTAATATTTGTCTTAGATTTCTAAATATTATAGCCCTAGCATAATTTGATAGTAGAATAAGCAATTAACAGAATAGCACATAACTTACCAATAACATAATAAGATATTGACAGTAAAATTAGATATTATTTTGCTCTGGTTTTGAAAATTATTCCCCTCTATCCGGGTAAAGGCGCAGCTACATGTAGAGTTTCGGTTTATCGGAATTTTAATATATAAATATACGCGTCCGTTCCGGTTCGTGGATAGACAAAAACTATTTTATTTCTGCTTCAAGGTTTCTTAATACAAAGGTATGTTCAGCGGTAGTAGCAATGTATCTATTTGGTTCAGGTATAATACCTTCAAGATTAATATAAGTATAGGTAATTATGCTATGATCGACACTACACTACAAAGCAAGACCATGCTGGAAGCGGCTGGGTCGATTCCCAGTTCGGTCCAGGCATTTTTCAGGATGGAAATTTTCTCGACTTCCCTGGGCATAGAGTATGATCAACAATTTATAACGATTTTAAATTGGCTCACTACTTTTTTTTTTTTTTTTTGCTGTTGTCTGATGACGGCTAAGACCATGGTTGGTCCATCTTGCCATGGCTCACTACTTGACTAGCCTATTGGTCCCAAGCAAATCGACTAACGTACCCAATTCTAGATAAATTCCAGTACTACACTATGTTTGTTTTGATTCGCAATGAAAGTTTGACAGACAAAATGAGGGGTTAGTGGATTTTCCTATGTTTCGAGGGGTGAATCGATTAGCTTGGGACCGAAGATAGTACCAGAGCTGAGCCAAAAAGTTGAGCTCGTTTATTCGGGACCTTCTGGTCTTAGAGTTACAATTATACAAATGCAAAAATGGTATAGGCATCGAAAGCTCTCAATTAATAACTGTGGATGTGCATCTAGAACATTAAGTTGAGAGCACACAATAAGCTAATATGCGACAAACAATAAACTTGAAATGCGAAGAAGAAGAAGAAGAAGAAGAAGAAGAAGAAGAATAAGAAGAAGCCAAAGGTAGGTGGCGGTACTACCAACCGGTGGAAACTAACGATTTTAAATTGGCTCACCACTTGACTAGCCTATTAGCATAGAGGTAACTCTAAGACCACTGGGTCCCGAAGAAAATCATTATTATTTTTGGCTCACTCAGTACCAGAACAACGGTCCCAAGCAGTCCCAAGCTATTTCACTCACCCCTGCATGTTCTGCATGAATCCACACACCCCTGATGTTATCTGTCAAACTTTCATAGCGAATCAAAACAAACATAGTGTAGTAATAGAATTTCAACTAGAATAGGGTACGTTAATCGTTTGCTTGGGACCAATAGGCTACTAAAGTGGTGAGCCAATTTAAAATCGTTAGTTTCGTATTGATTGTTGCTATTAGTCCCAAGCAAATCGATTAACGTATCACATTCTAGTCGAAATTCTAGTACTACAGCATGTTTATTTTGATTCGCTATGAAAGTTTGACTGATAAACTGAGGGGCTCGTGGATTTTCCTATGTTTCGAGGGGTGCATCGATTAGCTTGGGTCCGAAGAGGGTACCTGAGCTGAGCCAAAAAAATGAGCACGTTTCTTCGGGACCTCCCAACAAACAATTGAGAGCTCTTATAAAACACCTGAGTTGATCAAGCGTTGAATAATAGCTTTCAGAGTTGAACAAGAATGTAGTTGTATTGCCTTTTTGGTTAGAAGCTTCAAAAGCTGCTTGGAGCACTCTTAAATGATTGTTTACGTTCGGTTTAACTATATGCTTTATAAGACCTACGATAACTTTTATAGCACCTTTGTTAAACTGATTGACAAGAGCTATGTAGAACGTGAAATAAACGCATCAAAACAAACCATTGGAAGCTCTTATAAAACACCTGAGTTGATCAAACATTGAATAATAGCTTCCAGAGTTGTACAAGAATGTAGTTGTATTGCCATTTGGTTAAAAGCTTCAAAAGCTGCTTGGAGCACTCTTAAATGATTGTTTACGTTCGACCAACCACCAACCACAATTTTGTTGCTATAAATAGCACAAGTGATAGGCACGTTTATATGACCATAAGGCAATGATTATTCGACTGCAAGAGACGTCACTCAAGATGAGCTTCATATACTTCTCTCATATGATCGAAATATGTATACAAGAATAGAGCAGATGGAAACAGAAGCGGCTGGCAATCCGGGATCATGAGTTCGAATCTTGCTTCGAGAAACCCTCGGTGGAGTTGAGGTAAATTAATATATAGGTGTTATATTAATAAATGCAAACATTAATTTAAGACATATATCATATAATCAACGATAACATTTCTAGATAAATTCTCTCAATTAATGATTAGAGAGATTAATTGAAAGAATATCAATCAAAGATTTAAACAGATGCTTGTCACTACTTCCTCCATGATCACAGAATGTGAATTATGGCATAATTACATATTTTTTCAATGTGCACAAATAAATTAAATTAATAAAAACTGTACAAGCAATTATTTTGGCGTACCACGACAATTGTTAAATTAATTTTAATCTGTGAATATTGTGAGTACTTACACAACGGTTATTAAGAAGTCATTAAAAAGTGCTTTAAACGCTTTTCACCGCTTGCTGTACAATGATTATTTAGGAGTCATAAAAGAGTGCAACAAACGCCTCTCAGGTTTACTCTCTACTAAATATCAAAGCAGCTGTCAAGAAGTGTCTACAAACGTTGTATAAGAGCTTTCACCAAAATAATAAAACTTGAGTTTAAATATGCATCTATAAACGTTGTATAAAAGTTGCTTCTATTCGGTTGTTAAGGAGTCATTGAAAAGTGCTAAACGCTTTTCAACGCCTCTCAGGTGAACTCTCTACTAAATTTCAAAGCAGCTGTCAAGAAGTGTCTACAAACGTTGTATAAGAGCTTTCACCAAAATAATAAAGCTTGAGTTTAAATATGTATCTATAAACGTTGTATAAAAGTTGCTTCTACTCCTATACCGCGTATACATATAATGCTGTAGTTGAACAGGTTCTCCAAACCAGTGTAAACAAGAGTTTTACAGAAGTTGTAATAAACAAATTGTACAGTTATTATTCAGCATGCAGTTGAATAAAATCACAATGGAAGCGTTTATTCCACAAGAAATTGATTTTGGGTAAACGTTTTACTGAATACGTTAGACAACACCTTTGTGTTGCAGTTGTATAGGTTCTCCAAACCAGTGTAAACAAGGGTTTTATAAAAGTTGTGGTGAACACATTGTGCAATTATTATTCAACATGCAGCTGAACAAAATCAAAACGAAAGCGTTTCTTCAACTGGAAATTGTTACTTGGGCTTCTAGTCTTAGAGATACCTCTATGGTACTACCAACTAAAGCTACGATCAGACTAGACAGCTTCTCCTGTCACAGCTTGTCTGCCACAGCTTCTCTGTCACAGCTTCTCTGTCACAGACTTGTAAATCTGATAACGTGATCACACCTACAGTTTAGACTGTCACAGTCAAATTTGACTGTCGACAGACAATATTTTTGCAGTTATTTTCAGGCATACTTTCTAAGCGTTTCTACCTGGAGATTACACTGTAAGGAAAGAGAAAACTCTGTAGGCCGTGATCACTTTGGTAGACAATCTGCAAGTTTGAAAGCTTAATGGTTGACAGTGAACGGAAGAGCGATTAAAGTTTAAAGAATTTGTTTCCAATGCGAGTGATAGAAAGCCGGTAATGTAATGTAAGGTTTCCTCATTCGACCACTTAGGGGTCACCGTTTGACGATTACGCTTGGCAGTTTTGGCTCACTGTTTAAATTTTCACTGCAATCGTCCATTTTTCACACAACCAAACGCTTTCCAAGCCAAACCAACCAAATCGAACATTGAAAATAAAAACGTAATCAAACTACCGAATGTTAAAATATCTGTGACAGACATGTTCTGCAGAAACAGAAAAAATCTGTCTGTACAGTCACTAAGAATTTGTCAACAGACCATGATCACACTGTCACAGATAATCTATACACTTTGACTGTTCGCAGTTCGGCAGTTACAGATATTTTGACTGACTGCAGATAACTGTTAAGGTGATTCGCTGTGTCATTCTTATTCTTGTAAACACTTCGAAACTTTAAGCATACTAGTCTTAGAGTTACCTCTATGGCTATAGGGAGGTGTCTTTTGCTAAATTTTGAGATCATAGTGAGGTGTCGTCAAATTTTAAAATCAACAGTAATTTGTTTTTATGTTGTTAAAATGCGGAATAGTTGATTATTCCGCAAGGATTCCTTGTAGAGTCCACAAATGGCCGCCACATAGCCTATGTGTTTTAATTACACAAATCTCGGAAATTAGAGGTAATCGTTAGTTAAATTTAAATATTGGCGTTTATCACTATGGAGGCATTTAGTTGAGTTTTTTCCGAGATAGTTTCTGTGTACACATGTTGATTACATTACATTCAATTCCATAACTTCTATCGATTTGATCTTCATAAAACTTTGCAAAAAACCACGTTGAATGAATATTTGAACTAGGTAAATAATTGATGATTATTTTTGGTGCTACAACAAGTTTTGACATGTTCAATCATGATTCGAAAATGACCAATTTCCCATACAGTTTCGAGATGGCTTCTTCACAGGCAAACAGACATAACTTTGAAAATTTCACGTTTAGTTTAAGATCGACGCACTTGCATGAACATTTGTAATGAACTGTGAACCTTTTGTTTTCTTGACATGGTTGATGTTCATCGTTTTTGATATAATATTATAATATATTTGCGATGTCCATGTGAGCAGCGGAAACGTTGTCGTATTGAAGATATATAATTTGAAAAATTCCGCCAACATCCCATTATTACGATTAGTTCCAGCTGTATCCTACGGGGCTTAGTTCTTACCTCTGTCCGAGTACATCCGGTTGTAGATGTCACCGTTATTGGCGCTGTTTCCACTGGAACTGTTTCGTTTTGTCTCCGGCAGACTGGTCGGTACTGGTAGGTCATATAGAATATCATCCTGTCTTCTTACGAGCTCGGACTCATCTGGAAATCATCGTTGGAAGTAAGAGAAAGAGAGAAAGAACGTTAGTTGACGAGTTTGGCAAGCAATTAAATTGACAGTGGCAATAAATCACATCGAACGCCGCACCACGGAGAAGATCACGGCAAACACGCGGACCAAATGGCAAAGGCGAGACCATTTACACGCCAATTATTAGTCGGTTAATTTCCTAAGCAATAATTTACGCGCCGATTATTGGAACGACCCGGTGACGATGGGTTTTCTATGAAGGGATCTGTACATCATGTAGGTATGTGGGATGTGAGAAAAAAGTCACCGAAAGTGTCAACAGAGGTGTAAATTAACCGGTTAATAACTTGAGTGTCGCATTTATAAAGCTATGAGTGTCAAAATATACGTCGTCTTGGGGGGAAAACATACGCCTCCACGTGTCCATGGGCATGGACTGATCTTCGATGGTATCTTCACTTTCGTTAGTCACAGTGATCTAAAGAGGTATTGAACTGTCCATAACCAAGATATGACGTTGATTACATTTTTTTTTAATTTGTCTGCTTCTCTTACAAATTAAATAATTTGGTTTTATAATGGTTAACTAGGGTAGAGAACTACTTCGGCCTAATCGCCCATTTTGGGCCTATCGAGCAGACAACTTCAAATAAATCCATGATTTCAGAGTTAACAAGTCAATTATGCGTTTGGTATGATACTTTAGTTAATAAGCTACCGAACGAAGTCAATGAGAACGCGTGATATTAAGGTTTGCACCCATTATTCCCAAAACCAAAAGAAGCGCTCCGACCGAATCAATTTTTATCATCATCCGATAGGCCGAAGTGAATTCATTGGCGTTTCAATGGCGTTGCAATGCGTTAGGCCGAGTTTACCGAGTTTGGCGTCAAGAAGTAGTGTTAGACTTTTGACAACCCTAATAAATAAGCTCTCTTTTAAGGTTATTTTTATTAGGGAATATCTCAACGATTGGTATCTCTTTATCAAATCTTACGGTAAGTACGGAAAGGTAAATAAATTTGGAAGCCATCAGTAATAATAACATTCCATTTGGTGCTAAACTGCGCTAGATTAAGAAAGTCTAAATGCGAGCTGTGCTTAATAGACCGGAAATGGGGTAGTTAACCCTATTCCCATTTTCAGCATTTTTGGCAGGCAGCCCTATGTAGGCACATTTAGAATTGATAAACGAATTAAAATTACCCAAAGGATCCATAGAACCTAAAAAATTAGTGAATGATCCATATTTTATGTAAAATTTAGCAACACAATTGTAAAATTGCACCACTAAATTCTAAAGTATTGGAATTGTGCGAATTACCGATTTTGCAAAAGATCTGTAAAACGTTCAACAATGAACCATAAACTAACGAAATTGATCCATATAAAATTAAGTTTGTGCACTATAAATTAGACATATATTTTTCATGATTTAGTCACTATTTTTTAAATTTTCATCCAAAACCTTGGAAAATTACTCCTTTAATTCGTAGCTACTTAGATTTACTGTCCTGCCCGTGTTTTTTTGGTCAGATGAGCGAAACGATGGGCAAGCGTCTAGAATAAGGTTCTAAAATATGCTCCTGAAAGATGCTTGTAAAAGAAGCATCTAAAAAAATATTCAGAGCGAGATCCAGAGGAAGCATCTTTAGAAGATTATTAACTGACATAACCCCAAGGCTGCAAAATGCGTGTCGATGCATGTTGACATGCTGACGCCGGTGGTGTAGTGGTAAGCGTGACTGCTTTCTAACACCCCAATGGGTCTGGGTTCAATCCCAGTCGAGGTCGGTGGGATTTTTCTGAGGCATAAAAATCTCTGGTCACGTCTTCCTTCGGAAGGGAAGTAAAGCCGTTGGTCCCGGCCCATGTGTGTTGTGAATGGGTGCGATATCCTACGCAGGTGTGGAAGCTGCCTTCCTGCACATTTGGTTGCCGTCAATGGATGGTAATCGATGTCCGTCGATGATTGGCACTAGATTGCGGAACAGAGACCGACGTTAAATAAAGGAAAAGAAGAAGCATGTTGACATGGCTGATTCTCAGCAATGCAATGACCAATCGTTTTGATTCAGCCACCAATCGAAAGATATGACTATCTAATTTTATTTTGAATAGATAGAAACCCAACTGGACCTGTGATTGGCCAGCCGGAACGGGAAAACCCGGGAAAGTCCCGAGCAAAATGCGTGTCGATTCATGTTGACATGACTGGTTCTCTGCAATTTGGTTACCACATCTTAAGATTGAGCCACTTCTTGAAAAGTATGACTATCTACTGTCAAACGGAACAGACAAGGAACCGACTGGAGTTGTGGGTGGCCAATCGGAACGATAAAACCCGTGAAAGGTGGCTCTGTGGAAATTCGAATTCACCGGGAAAATAGTCAATTCCTGAAAGTAGACCTAGAGATTCTAACTTGCATATAATCATTAGCATAGAGGAAATATGACATCAACATATCGATTCTGCTACCGAGTGGCCAGAATACGGTCCTCTGGATATCCGGAATCACCGGGAAAATAGTCAATTATTAAAAGTAGACCTGGAGATCCGTGAGTTTTAAGAAAATGTGAAAAACCCTTAGTTGCGAAGATATATGTCAGTGCCATATTGATTTGATCCCGCAGGGGTAATTGAATGCCCTTCTGGATATCCGGATTCACCGGGAAAATGGTCAATTCCGGAAAGTAGACCTAGAGATCTGCGATTTTCTCCTAAATTGCATACAATCATGAGCATAGAGAAAATATACCATCACAATATCGATTCTGCAACCAAGTGGCCAGAAAATGGTCCTCTGGATATCCAAAGTCACCGGGAAAATAGTTAATTCTTCAAAGCGGACATAGAGATCCGTGTTTTTTTCTAGATTTACTTACAAGTATAAGCATAGAAGAAATTTGTCATCATCATATCGCTTCTGCTACTGGGTGGCCGGAATACGGTCCTCTGGATATCCGGAATCTCCAGGAAAAAAGTCAATTCTTAAATGTTGACCTTGAGACCCGTGCTTTTTTTTTCTAAATTGCATACAATTTTGAGCATAGAGGAAATATGCCATCAACCTATCGATGCTGCTTCAGGGTGGCCAGAAAACGATCCTCAGGATATCTGAATACTTCAAAATCTTCCGCATACATAAAGTTGTAAGAGTTGCACTCGGTCAAACTAGGTGTTTCAGCGTCACAGCTTGCAAAAAAACGTATTCCCTCCCCATGGACATGGAGGTTGACGGTACTGAAGCAAAGGGTTATGTTTAATTTCTTTATATTTGCAACGATGATGATTTCCTTTCGTTACACATATCACCTTCTTAATGCTTCAGTATGCCTCAAACGATTAATTCTTGGCTGTTAGTAGAACTTCCTTGATGAAACCGGCTGCTTCACGCAGACTGAGCAATTCTGATTATAGTATCAGATTTGTTCTGTATACAGAGGAACTGGGAGGGCTTATTAGAGACTTCTCACCGATAAAGTAATGATCTTCTAGTAAATTTTGCATATAATCTTATTAATATTTTATTTTATTTAAGCATATTATTTTTGTTGCAGTCAATTAGCATTAGCATACGATACAAGAGATTTAATATTACTTGCTCGTTTTTGCGTAAAATAATCAATATTTATTTTACTTGAAAGTTTGAAAGTTTTTTTCAAGTTTTTTTTTGTGATCTGAAAATTTTCCCAGTTTGGTTAGAAGTTTCGAAGCTAACGCATGTCCACAGGCATGTCCAGAAGAATGGTTGCATGCAGGGTTGCTTCCACTCACTTGCTATAGATGAGTGATTTTCGGAGTTTTGAATTCGTTAGATGTTGTAATGGAGATTTGTGTTGTTGGATGCGGGAGGAGATTGGAGGGCGGGTGTTTGACGCATAGAGCCTGTCAATTTCGCTTTCAGAGTGTCGCAGTCAGCGGTTTTATGAATCCTGAGCGCTTGCGATTCGTAGAATCGTTGATTGTGACTGCAAGTGGATTTGGCGGGTTTTGTGGCGTTTATTTTTTGGCCTCTTCTTGTGTCTAACATGTGCAGAGTATCATTATAGCGTCTAATGGTTTTGAGATTCCTGGTTGGGTGAAATATATTTGTGAGAATATTTTTTTGAGATGTTAGTAGTCACGTTTTGTTTGTAGTTTATATTTTATTACTTTCATGTAATTATCGTAAATAATAGTTTTTCAATAATAGATAGTTCATCCATATATTCGTACTTTGACGCAAAGCGCTGTGGATTATGAGATGCTCGATGACCCTGGAGGGATCGATTTTGCTTACTGAGCAGAAAATTATGGATTTAACCCCAAGCTCTTCCACAGCACAGTAAATCGACAGCATCATTTGTATATTTGATATTGAACATTAACCTCGGAAACTATTTGCATATCAAGCGAAAACGTAGTCCTGCACACTTAGATTTTTTCGCCGAGGTGGGCACCACCGAGCAGCTCGGCATTTTATTTTGCAGGATCTCAGTGAAAAACTTGCCGAGATTCAGCTAACAAATAGGAATTTCGCCGAGATCTCAGCTAACAAACATATTTTTTGCTGAATTTCCAGCAAAATAAAATGCCGAACTGCTCGGTGGTGCCCATGTCGGCAAAAAAATCTAAGTGTGTGTATTGTCGCGAAGCGCTATGGTTCCGAGATGTTCGATGACCCTGGAGGGATCGTTTTTGCTTACTGAGCAGAAAATCATGGGTTTAATCTCAAGCTCTCCATCATGACTCTTAAAATTCATGATCACTAAACAAAATATGTTCTTTCGATAGCCGGCTATCGAGAGATTAAATAAACAACAAATAAACAATACATAATTTTGGTTGCATCGCCAACTTGAGGTGAATCCTAACCGAATACCCTACCCAACCCTTTGATTCAAATATGATTCAAGCCACTTGAGGAGTGCGTAATGAATTCCCATTTTTTGAAGTTTAAAAAGAAGCATGGGTATGTCAATTCGATCAAACGCTTTGCTGAAATCTGTATACAACACTTCAACATGG